CCTAGCGCGGTGATATCGCCATTATTATCTATTGCCCCAATTGACTGCAGGTTTGCAGTGGTACTGTTGAGACGATCTAGCGAAGGTGGATTTGGCACCTGACGCATGAAATCGCGGAGAGGTAAGTCGGGTAAAGTGGCTCTTAGCTGGAGAGATTCAGTTTCAATTTCGTCCACATAGATCCGGGGAGGAGTGCTCCTTGTCAATGCGTCATATCTCGACTGTGTGAATGTGGCATAGTAGGAACCATTGCCGGTTCGGCTTGCGCATGCTTCCCTTTGATGGATAGCCAGCTTATCAACCCAGCCACCAACTACTTTCCGCAGCCCGGTGGACGGGTCGTAGACCGAATCATGTTTCTTCCCGCTATCGACCACATATCGGACCTCTGGTATATTTATCGAGTTTTCGGCGATATTTGTTGACAGAATTATTTTTCGGCATCCGTTCTTAGCTGGACGTAATACATTTTCATCGATATCGCCCAGACCAGAGTGTAACTTGAAAATTTGAAATTTGGTTCGATCGCTGAAATCCACTCCAAGAGGATGGTCGTAGAGTAACGTTTCAAGACGCTTCATCACATCAAGGCCGGGAAAAAGAGCAAGGATAACGCCCTCCTCTTCGGTTTTCGCAATATGAGCAATTGTAGCAGCAGTCAGCCCAAGAGGAACAAAATGCTCTTTTTCGTTGATTGGGGCGTTGGCTGTAGCCTCCTCTAGTAATGCATTAGGAATAGGCAGCTTAGCCTCGTCATTCCCTTCTGAGGGTTCAGGAGTGATCAAGTCCTTTTCGGCTGCGATATGTTGGCTTGTTGATGTGTCAGAGAGTAAGGGCATCAAATCTTCAGCAGAATGCTTGGAGAATAAAGAATGCAGTATGTCTTCAAGGAAGTAACGCTGAACAGGATGAGAGGAATTGGGGATCACCATGCGAGTTGCTGGATTAGGTTCTCCATTTTCGGACACAGCTCCCATATAGGTTTCAAGAGCGGCGGTTTCGGGGTCTGCAGTCATAATTATAATCTTTGGAATCGGCATGGATGCATTGGAACGTCGGTTGATCTCCCTCCTTAATAGCGCTAGGAGAAGGTCCGTAGGAGTATCACGTTCATGTGTTTCATCAACAAAAATGTGAGATACAGTGTCCAAAATCTCATCGCCTCTTCGTAACATATCCAGTAACATAACTCCGGTCGTTCGATAGGTAATACCGTTGTTTGACGACGGCTTTATAGCATCCCATCGAATTTCATATCCAACAGATTTCCCAAGCGCTTCGCCACGTTCAAACGCAACTCGCCGCGCCATAGTCGTAGTAGTAACTCTGCGAGGCTGGGTGACCATTATGTTGGAGCTAGGGAAATGCTCCAGTACCATCTGGGGAATTTGAGATGTTTTCCCACTCCCTGTAGATCCAACTATGATGCTAACAGTGTGTTCGTTAATCGTATCCAGTATTTGCTTGGAGTGTTTCCTTGCAGGCAAAGAATTTCGCGCGTCGAGCGACTCCTCCAATGTACGGTTGCTAAATGGGAGAAAAGGTAGATCAACGGACTCGGCCTGGCGCACAGCTGAAGCAAGGACATTCGGAAACAGTGACTCAATATTGTTCGGACAGGTCTCTTTAGTGTTATCCTGGCCTCTGGGACTAGGGTAGTAAACATTTTCGAGTGAGGTTTGGATGGCGGAGAGGGTTTCAGGAGACATCGAAACAGAGACGGAGTGAACAACGGGCGAAGTTTCTCGCATCTCATTTATAAAGTCTGGCCAGAGAGACGGGTTCTTGCTAATGAGATGAACGGCTCCTGCGAGCCTTGCAAGGGATTTTGCTGATTTTGCGGAGTCAGCCATTACCGGTTTTGATACAGGTTTGCCATCGATATAAAGTGTCCCATAGTAGACCATAGAAGAGCCAAAGTTTTCCTGGGTACAGCGTGATTCAATCTCGCTAGATTGGTCACATTTTGAGAGGTAAAAGTTTAGAAGATTTGGAGCAACATCCACCGTAAGAGTAGAATCGTTTTTAATTCGCCCATGATTTCCTGGAATACCCTGGCGTGGTGTTTGAGCTATGAAGGAGCGAGAAGCTTCAGTGATGACCTGGGGAAGGAAATCTCCTGTAGCAACAGATTTGATATTTTGACCTGGCAACTCAATCCTAACTTCATGCTGGGCGTATGACGTAAAACCAGGTTCCGGCGTGGATCGGTAGTGTATCTCAGGTAAGGATGCAAACCGAGAAGCATAATGGTAAACATCTGATAGATCAAAGCGGTGCGCTCTCATGTCCCATAAGGTCTTGAATGATTGTGCAATCTTGTTAAGGTAACCCTTGGTATGAAGTGCGGACACGAGAAAAACGTAGGCGGCATTTTCTGCAGAGTACTAGAAGTGCAAACAAATATCCTTAGCGAATTTATATATTAAGCTGGATGATTCCGATTTTTAGGTGGTTCAAAAGGGGGAAAAACTAAATGTGTTCAGAATGGAGACTCACCGAATCCTGCCCGAGACCTGCGACTTCGATTGGCTCTTTGACCCTCATACCTGACGCAGGTGTAACGCGACAAACCAATTTGCACATAACAGCTCCTATATCAGAAAGTTTGGCAACGTCCGTATCAATCTCAACAATCCCCATTTGTGAGAGTGTATGGAGTGAGGATTCTGGTTTCGAAAGGAGAGTAAGTAAGGCCAAGAGTGATTCAGAAGATGGCAAAGCCGCATTCTCCCTAGCGTATGTTTCCGTCAACCTGGAATATGGCTCTGGATATATAACAGATTCGGTCGGCGAGGAATTCATGGATGGCTCACCGGCCAATGACCCATTATCGACCGCCTGCGTCGAGGCATGTCTTTCCTGTGACTGGTATTGAGGTTTGCGGTTATACGATAGCTCGGATGAGGTTCTATCTGTGGCATACCCTCGAGTGGTGCATGCAGAGATATAATGAGTGTGATGACGCCCGACCCCTCGAGACAGGTGACGCCCATTGGGTTGAGCTATTCTATAGACTGTGCTTAAAGAATGCCCATATGGCGAATTGGGGACCCTTCGAGTATGGCGGACATTTCTAAGGGAAAGCCGGAGGGGAATGGCCGGCATGGAGGATGGTTGAATAAACATCTAGACTGGCGAAAAAAAGCTCCCCAGGTTAGTTTCAAGCTGCAAATGGATTGCGGATGGCCAAACACACCTAAGCATAGATGTATGGTTTCAATCCCATGCAGGTAGTGCCACACTCCTTTATCCAAAGGTAGGATAAACCGATCTATGCCAATGGGAGCTTCTGGTCGTTGCAACTGGGAAATTTCGATATTGAGGCTCGAATAAATTCCAGCTTCGACGATGGAGCCGGAAGCATCACGTGAAATTAGATTAAGCGCTGAAAGTTAATTTTGCTTAGTCAGTATATACAAACAAGAGCTCAGGCGTTAAAAGTGAGAGAATACAGGGGCAACTGCTCCATGATTCAGTAAAAATAAGCCCAATAGTACTGGGTTTTTGCAACAGCTATTCTCTCCTTACTATATCTGCAAAGTCGGCCTTTTTGCTGGGTACAATAGAAGCTGTTTGAGAAACGCGAAAATTGTCACGTGACCGACGCGAGCTCAACGGGCTTGCTCCAACGTCACAACTTCTCCTTCGACGAGCAAAAGAGAGAGACAAATAACCAAGGCCACGATAAAAAAAATATCATCTTTGCAGCTAAAGAGACCACAATAGAGGCGTATAACACCCCGATTTCTTACAATGTTTCGTCAATCCGCACTCCAAACCCTTTCCAAGGCCGCTCGGCCGATTACCACTCCCGTATCCCGTTCTTTCAGCAGCACTGCCATTCGCGATCACGCCCGTCTCACCGTTGTTGGTCGTCTTGGTGCGCAACCAGAGGTGGCGACATCATCAAATGGGCGTGAATATGTGAAATACTCTGTTGGTACCAACTATGGCCCTCGTGACAACCAGCAAACCAGCTGGTTCCGAGTGACGAGCTTTGTCCCCGAAGGCCCGGGCAGAGATCACCTACTCAACCTCCCAAAGGGGTATGTTCTTTCTTTATATTCCTATGCAACTATTTTTCGCCGTATACCAAAGCTCCAGATGCTAACATTGCCATGGCCAATATAGAACATTGATGCTTGTTGAAGGAGATGCTACTATGCGAGTATCAGAAGATAACGAGGGAAGGAAAACCAGCATGCTGGGCTTTGTCCAACGTGAGCCCATCCGTTCCATTTACGGCATATTTAACATATACATTATCAACGATCTAATATCTTTTCTGAGCTAGGCCATTATGAAGTTCTCAGCCGACCCTTTAACCCTAACCGCGACGAAGAATCGAAGTAATCTGTTCTCAGCTGATGTCGCGGCTCTGTGCCTTATATCTAGCTTCTGTCTGTACAGATAGTCATTTTACTGGATGCCACACTTGAATCCCCGGACGATCGTCTATACTGATCTTAACTTGTTGTGCCGTTTGATTAGAACTTTTTGGTCGCATCTCTTCTCACGCTCCGCGGGTCATGTCTATGTATTATTATATTTTTTCTGATCCACCTCTCCACCCTCCAACCATTGTATTCTATTTCCCTTTTACTACAACTAGTACGGTAAGTAATGAGTGGGAAGTTGTGAATCTATATTAATGAAATCCTACGTTGATATGTTTTTTTCGCTTGCCCGCATCATGGTTGTATCTGGACTATAGAAATACCACTTAAAACAAGGTATGATAAACGGTTCAATAACACGAAATAGATATTTACTCGGTATGTCTAACTAAAGGCAACTATTACTCCTAATCCACAATCGAAGTTGTGGGTTAATGTTCCCCAGCAAACGCCATGAAACATCTGAACGTAGGTATCACGAAAATCAAAGCTAGCATATTAAAAGGTAAAACTCCAGTAAAGAAGAAAAAGTGGGACAATCAAGTATCAGGGGATTGCTGTTGAAAATGGATATATCAAGAGTGGTTGGTTGGAGGGCTTCTACACCATATCGGGCCCGCTCTTAGCCTCCCTCCCCCCTTTAACAGCACTGGAACTTGGTGTTTCGGTAAGAAACTCGAGAAAAATTGAGTCTCCTGATTGCCGACGCTGTTTTCGAGACATGTTGAGCCTGCTGGGGTGATTTATAGGTGTTGGCACAGTTGGCATCTGATATGGCTTCTGGGCGCTATTTTGGTTGTCCATGGAGAAACTTGGTTCGAGCTCATTGAACAAACATCCATCCAGTGACATATTTCGCGTCTTTTCGCTATTCAGCGCAAAATTTATATGTTAGTCGATTGTCAAGCCCGAGACAAATATCAGCAGAAAGAGAGTAAAGTAGGTAACTTACTTCAGTGTGACGTCTGAATCAATCGTAGATGTCAAAGGCTTCTTTCGACCCAGAGCCATTTTGACAGTGCTACTGAAAGAGCCAAAACGGGTAGAAGATGAACCCTGTCTCTGGTTGATCATGATATGTGGATGACGAAGCGCAGGGAAACAATCTCCAAACCCGAGTCTTAGAAGAATTGACCGGTACATCATGGTGGCGTCATGGCCAATACCGAAGAAAAAGAAAAGGAGGAAGCCCGCTGCAGCTTGTATCCAACGATCGTAGTAGACTTGTCCATGCATTGGGAATTTGATAATCTCACCCCAGTGAGGACCATGAACTTCGGACCATGAATAAGGAGCCCAGGGTTTGTAGGAGGTTATGTTGGTGTAAAAGACGAAAAACTGAGCCGGTAGGCTCCCGAGAAGAAGGACAAGTGAAATGGTGAGTAGGCGGACAAATTTTGACTTGCTGGTTGAGCTGTCCGAAGACACAAGTTGGGAAAATTCACGTTTGTACTTGAACAAACGGTATAGCACGAGTGCTGGCGTAAGAGTTAGTAATGCCGTCTGTGAAAGGTGTACTCCAAGTGGTTGAAACCTTACCACAATAAAAACAAGCGATTATCAAAATGATTGGAGGCCAGATGTAACCGACGACAAAGCTGACCCAGCTAGAATGATAAGCTGGCATGCAGCCCACGATGCTGTAGATGTAATATCTGCTGTCCTGGATGATGAAGTGCAGTACCATGATGACCACCGGGATAATAACACAATATATGACATCAAATGTAATGTTCCATCTTCGATCACCTTTGGTAGGCACAAGGGTAGTTCGCTCCGTGTCCAGGACCTTTGCAAGACTGCGAAAAATGCAGACTAAGGGGCCGGCAATACCAACACCGGCGCCGGTGATAAGCTTGGACTGGATATCACAATAGCCATAACCCATCCACCGGGAGTTGAAATCATCATCAGGCCAAATTAACGGATTAATGAAGTTGAATAAGTTCTGGGTGAGAATCCACATTATCAGGCAGGAGGCAGGAAAGTTACCATTTCGGCAATGCCAAATCAACGGTGGGATGCAGACGAGAAACGACATGAACGCAACAGTGCAGAGCACTACCGCCTGCGTTGACATTTCATAAACCGGAGGTAGATTGCTATTCTCCATGATGAAGATTTTCTGCCAGAACCGAGTGCAATGCACCTATTCAGTTCTATGAGCACCATACGGAATTGTTAGCCATATTTCTCAGTACTACCTCCATAGACATTGGTGTCGTAGGGATAATCGTACCAAGCTCGAGCAGAATCCTGAGAAAGGAAGACACCTTTGATGCTGCGAGAACGTCTGCAGTAAGACCCGTGCGTAGATCTCGCGTTTCAAGGGGTTGAGAGATGCAGGCAAATGAAATGCACAAGAGGCCTTGAGCATCAAGAAGGAATTCGGCGACCAGGAATTTGTCAAAGAATGGAGCAGGTATAAGAATTTATATACCAGCAGAAGCTCCAGATACTGGAGAAGAAAAGAAAGGAAGGGCATATTGAATGGCCATTCGGGAGGCCGTCATGCAGTGCCGCTGAGCCCCCAACTGCCCCGAATAAGGTCAATAAATCAGTCATGTCCCCGTGGGTGTCAATAAACCACTGTTGTTGAACAGCCTTGACGCAGCGTGAATGCATCTTCAGTCTCACTCCTGCATCTTACCATCCCCCGAATAAGAAAACAGGGGCTGAATAAGCAGAATAAAAGAAAAGTGCACTGAAGACTAGGTGTGGACCCGGCGGGAGACACGCGCGCTAAACCGCATCGGGGTATCAATAGGTCCTCCTCCATCAATAAAATCTCAGGAATTTGACCTGGCAAGCACTTCGATCAGCGTATTCTGTGAGTAAACTGCTGGTCCGTTTGTACACTCTTTGTAAACCGGGCTGCTGCAACAGGGCGTTTACAGTTATTGGCGTGCAAAGACAAGAAAGAAGAAAAGGTTGTGTCTGAAGACAACCCTTGAGCGTGGGGATAGCTTCCGGAAGTCCAGTTCCTCGCCCCGGGGATGGAGCTATTTGCTACAAACACATCAAGAATTCTTCAGGATGCGGATGAGCCGGACACGAGGATGGTGCCGTCGACAAGCCCTCGACATCTGCAGCTATCATGGCCCGGGTGTATCATTAAGCACCTTCAGCCTCGAGGCGTCTTCAAAGGTCTAGACACGCTGGTCTAAAATGTACGTAGTACTCCGTAGCCAGAATATATCTGATACTGTCCCTGTACACTGAAGGTCAGTTGGTACCATTTATCAAAGAGATCACATATATATTCCATGACGTTTGCGTGAGGGTACATATGTGTGAGCCGAACTGCATATGTGACTATTGCAGATCATAGAGACAATTCTCCCGCCGGAGCCTCTGTATAATTAATGACCCCATGCAAGGTGTCCCGTCGTTTGATTCTTTGAGGGATGACCCGGGGACCGTGAAGATGGCTGGCTTAGCCGGGGTTGTATTCTGGTCGACCTTGCATCAATAAGGAAAGCTAATTTTATTTGCGTTGACCTCCTCGCCCAGGCCAGTCCCATTTAAAAGTTGTTCCTCATGCTATCTCCCGAGATAAGTATAGAAAGGAGTTCGAAGATATCAATTGGCACGGTGGAATATCAGCGTTCGAGCAGAGGCAGCTGAGAGCGACAGGCTTATTTTCTTATCCCTATGGAGGGGAAGTGAATACGAAGTTCAAGATCTAGCAAACAAAATTATGTTTCTAGACCCAGGGGCTTAGACCCTATCCAAGTCTTGAAGCTGACGTAGTGGTATCATCGTCTTCCTGTTCTTCACCCGATGTTGTTGTCGCTCTCCTCAGCATCAATGAAGTTGTCTCGCTGACTCATCAGATGACATAATATTTCCCCCTGGTCAAAGCGAATAAAGTTCTTACATCATACTCATAAAAAATAAGCTTGAGAATGCCAAGAGATGCCAAGAGATCTCTATCTTCTACTGAAGAAGGAACGACTCCGCAAAAACCGGGATGGACTATATGTCAATACCAACTATCATGAAGGATGTGAGTCGGGAGCGCGAGAAGGCCGAATGTCATTGATCTGGGGAGCGTTTGCGCTGAGGCAGATTTTGCAGAACGTATCCAGATTATACCAACTATGAACCATGGTTGCTCTATCCACGGAACGAGATCAGGAACCATCCAGCTCCCTTGCGACCTCGCGTGTCAAGTCACAGGCCACAGAACAACTTCGACGCAGACAGAATGCATCTGCTAGATTAAACCTGGATGACTCTGCGCCATCAACCTCCCCTCCCGGCAAGCTCCGGCGCAACTCAACGTTCTCGGACACTGTCACTGAGACCCGTCGGTCTATAAAATCATCAACAGACGATTTATTCTTTCCTCGTGCCAGCAATAGTATGGGACGCACCAGTCCCGACGATACGGACTCCCACTGGCATTCAAGCCCCCTCGTGCTAGCTCTTCTACCAGGTCTAGGGGGGCTTCTCTTTCACAATGGAGCTGCTGTCTTCACAGATGTCGCCTTGCTATCTATTTCAGCAGTCTTCCTAAACTGGTCCGTTAGGCTACCATGGTGAGGCACCTCCCTCTTAGCAGTCTAAGCATATTGTGTTTTAAAATTGACACTAGATAGGGAATGGTACTTTGCCGCTCAGGAGAGAGTTCAGCTAGTAACTGACGCCTCCGACGGCGAATATTTAGATGAGTCCGACACGGAGAATTGCGTTCCCTTGGACAATTCAGTTAATGGGGAAAATTCTCACTCTTCGCCGCCCCGAAAGGCATCTGCAATAGCATGTCAAAATGCGAAATCTGAATTGCATATCCACGAACTTTCAGCACTTGCATCATGCTTCCTATTCCCTGTTTTAGCAGCGTACCTTCTGCATTCTATCAGGTTTAAGCTATCACGCCCATCCGAAGGACTAGTTTCAAACTACAGTCTTACTCTGTTTCTTCTTGCAGCCGAAATACGTCCCGTCTCGCATTTGCTCAAAATGGTGCAAGCCAGAACCCTTTACCTACAACGTGTGGTTGAATGTAACCAACCGAGGAGCCTTAGCGACAAGGTCCCGGGCTCGGATGCAATTGCTGAGCTTTCAAACCGACTTGATGAGCTAGAATCCCGTTTTTCGACGGCAAGCCTAGAGCTTAATTCCGTTGAGGAAAGTCAGAGCAAACTTCATCCCCCTAAGGAACTTGTTGAGGAGGCACGAAAGGCTATGAAGAGTGATATATATACCCTTGATAAATTGGTTCGCAGCCAAGAGAAACGTTATACCACTATCTCAGCCAAGTTGGATGCACATGTACGCACCGTAAACAGCTATATGGTAGAGCTTAATCCGCTTATCACTTCATGGAAGCAAGGGAGATCGGAGCTCCATAGACGACCCACGAATTCTTTGATGAACAGTATAATACTTACTGTTTTGTCTTTTGCGACTTCACCCTTACGGATCGTCTGGTCCATGATCAAATTACCCATACACTCCTTTGCGTGGATATACCACGGTCAGAAGACAAGTCAGGGGCGTGTAAATAAGAGAAGAAGAGCGGCAGCATAGGTATTATCCTAATACAGCCTGAATTTATCGTGCCTTTGGATTGTAGCCTTTATCTACCTCATACAATCTGGGTAAAGGTTTTTGGGTGCTCTGTAGATTCTTGCTTGGGACTCCGTGTGTATATTGCAAATCGCATATCTAACTCAAGCTATAGCTTGACATCATAAAGGAATACAAATCCAAGCCTGTTATTAACTGCCAAAGGCAACATAATCTTTATACACAATGTATATGTAAACTCCAAATACCCAAATACCCTGGTTTAACTGGTATCACTATACAAAAAGGGAGTTATAACCCCTTTCTTTCTTTCTTCGAGCAACCTCCTGTCTTTATCCTTTTCCGGTAACGGAATGGAAGAAGAAAACATCACAGAAGCAAAAAGAGAGGCATATGCATCGTTAAGAGCTTCTCTTCTGGCAACTGATTGGTTTTTCCGCGGTATTGAGGGAGAGTGGTCTGCATCACTATTTCCAGCTAGAGTACTGTTTCGGCCTCGCAACCGGAATGGGAACGAAAGAGACGCTTGCCTACTTAGGAGGGTAGACTGAGCTGCAGGAGTAGGTATTGATGGCTGTTCTGAGCTGGTTGCAGTAGGAGTTGAGGGTGACTCTGCGGGAGGAGACGTAGCAGAAGGTGTAGGCGTCGGTGTAATCGGGGCTATTTCGTTTGCGATACGATTCAGCATGAAGGTGAGAAAAGTGAAGGAGACACTGTGGGAAGGTGATGTTGAGAGGGTCTCAAGTATTGATGACTGCATCTGTTCGCTGGATGGAGGTTCCTGTTGCCTTGATTTGTCTCGTAGTAGCTTCAGTCGCTCATCTAGAGCACACCACAGGTGTTCAGTAATGATACCATCACGAAGAGACCGAAGGAAAGTAATCAGAGTCTCAGCAAGCAGCTCTGTGCGGTATTTCCATGGGAAATTTGGAGGAAAGTGTTCAGAAAATGGACTATTTGTATCAATTGCTTCCCTCACATCGATAAGCAATTTCTCTCTTTCCTTGGTATCGTTCAATGACCAGGTCTGTGAATCAAATGGCCAACCAGGCTTCTTGTCAGCTTCCCATGGAGCCCCACTACTTTCAGGGTTTGTGTCATTGGAAACCATGCCCCATTCGGCAATGGATCGTTTGGTATGCTCAGCTATCGCCTATGTTAATTTGAATAACTCACGAGGGCCGGAGGATCTCGAGTTGCTTTTATCCTCTCCGGATGAAGCCGGTGATACACTTATAGCACGTACACCATCTTCGGGTATGCAAGTAAGCTCTTCCAGAGAGAAGCCAAAGGACGTAGGTAACCAATGGCCTTGTATAGATAAGAAATGATCCCGTCCATCAGTCACACGTAATACAAGGATATCATCCACTTTAGCCTTGCCCTCATTGAGTTTGCGGACAAAGTCAATATCGGATATACATAATGTTAAACGAACATTGGCGGAGTCGCCAGGTTGGAAAGTGTATTCCTTTGGCGATTTATCATCTTGGTTAGGATTATTGGCGGGCCAATCGACGCGGATATTTAGCCAGGGAGGAGACGAACAAGGGCCAGCCATATCAATAGAAGGATTATAATGGAAAGCAAAAGTAGCCGGAACACCGCCTGTATTTGCAAGGGTCAGACTCCGTGAAGTCGGATCACGGTATCTCACCTTGCCAAAGTGAACGGTATCTGGCTGAGTGGGAAGAGCAACACCGCCAGAGCTACTTCGACGGGCTTCTGACAGCTCGTCCACCACGATAGTTATATCAGGGCGGGCTTCGTTCTCGGCCTTGTCTAGTTCTCGGGCAACTTCCTGATGAATCTTCGTTTTCAACGATGGAATGACCACATCAAGTGTGACGTCGAAATCAGCGTGAATAGGTTTGTGGTCAGAAGAAACAATATGCTGATGGGACGTATACTCCAGGAGAGAAATAATATTCTCACCCGTGGTATCATTATTCGTTGCATCTTCTGTTATATCATCCTGTTCAGGGTCGTAGTCTGCGGCATCCTGATCTGGATCATAATCGAAAAGGACATTGTCATCTTCCGCAGCCTTATCCAAGCCTAGAGACTTTATTTCCTCGTCTCTCTTCTTCGCTTCTTCTGCCTCCTTAACTTTCCTTTTATGTCTCATATGGTCGGACTTGGTTCGAAACAGGATTCGATCACACCAACTTGGACTGCGTTGCTTTTCACTGGAGTCGAGTACCCCTATCTGTCCAACATCATACTTATAAGTAGGCAAGAATGTTATTGGCCCTTCTCGCCAGCCCTGATGAAATGATTTTCCACTCTTCTGCTGAGCTTGGAGTTGATCATGAGGTAAGAGCGACGAGAGTGTGTTCAATAGGAAGGCTGGGTCCTCTGTTGGATCGAGGTCATTATCATCCATTTGTATACCCTCCTCTGATGGCAACGAGGTGATGTCGCTTTCAAACGATTTCCGAGATTCCTCAGGCTGACTGTTCCCGATACTCTGTAAAGGGGGGTTCCGTTTTGCTGGGCGGAATTCGTCTTGAACATGTAAATGAAGAAGTCGGCGAACATCGTTCCCAGGGATACCATCTAGACGGTAATTCAGATCTCCAAACCAAAAGCTAAATTCTTCTTCCCCAAATTGATGATTCATTTCCCCGGAGATAAGGTCCTGTTCCTCGATAGGGGCAAAATTTGAACGAGAAATGATCTGAGCCGCATCCCAGTTCCTTCTTTCTAGATTGGCCTTTTCTGCCCCTGCTGCAAGATGGGAATTCACAAACACCAACCGTGTTGTTTCTCCAATGACGATACGTGTTGCAACTGCCCCTTTATTGCCAGTATAGCCTAGAAACCCTGTCCCAACACTGGTGGAACTTACTGATGATATGTGAGGTTCCAAAGATGGGGCAGCGTAAACCAGTAAAAGCATACCCACGAGTTGCTGGGAAGCTATGCAAGTGTATCCCGGGGGTAACGCCTCTTGGAGTGCTGCGTTCCATTTGGCAGAAGGTCCAGGATCAACATATGTCTTGATAGCCTCTGTAGCAGAGGCCACATCCACAATTTCCTGCAATCCTAGGATATAGAGATCTGGTCCTTCCCCATAGGTCTTAAACGAAACTGAATGGGCTGCCTCATCGTCTGTGGCGTCCTCTCTGTCACCGACACCAGTATCCCCATTCTCAGTGGCTTTCCCTCCGGCAACCGGGTCTGCAATTAGCCATCTCTTAAGGTCCTCTTCCGGTCCAGACAGAGCTGCAACGTTCCATGATCCGATCCTTATTCTGAGCTTTCTCTGTCGAATGTATTCGGACTTCCTAGATCGAACCCCAGCGGACAAGGACAAGTCATTCAACGATACCACAACGGGCTCCTCAAGTTGCGGATCGGGGAATGTGCCAGGCAAACCCTCGGCATTCGTAGTAGACGTAGTGTTGGAAACAATCTGAGCCTCATCCCCGGGGACCGCCATCTTGCTCTTTCCTTGGACCCCGCGCACCTGTAGCAAACGAAAGCGAAGAACAGTTTCCTCTCATCTCACCGCGAGACAGATGTTCTTATATGGGCAAATATATGTCGGTGCCTGTCCAAGGCGGTTAACAGAACAGGGCTTGTGATCGGATACTGGTCAGCTGCGCCCGATACCAGTGGAGTAACCGGGGAAGCCAGGCGCAGCAGGGCAGACAGCTCCAGGCCCACGAGAACCGGAGAATCCAGTAATGTAACCAAACTTGAGGCTCTTTACGAGACCATGGGCGGATCAGCCTCCTTGGTGGATGTATATATTGTGTATATGGCTGGAGAGACGTCAGTTGTATGCAGATCGAAAGTGAAGGATGAGGTGGGATGTTGCCTGCAGGAGGAGAAGTTAACGTTATTTACGTACGATCCAGAGGCTTGGCGGGACGATGGCCAGAAACGGCAACTTTTGACATCCTCACAAAGAACACCGCAGAAGATACAAGCTCAAGGACCATCCTTACAAGCTCACTATTTATCCAGCAGTACATATACGACTTGCGCAGCTACCTGAAGAACCAAGAGATAGGCTGAACACTTCAAAAAGCCATTACCACACATCCAGAACTCAAGAATGCTACAATACACAGCCACGCCTGTAGAGGCAGCTCCCGCACCCGCAGCGGGACCAGCACCGACAAGGACAAACGCAGAGATCAACCTTTCAGTTCTCCGACGACACAACCCATCCATATCCTCCATCCTCTCCCTCGCCCAATACGCAGTCATCTACCACTTCAACGCAAGAACACAGCTATGGGAGAAGATCGGGGTGGAGGGGACACTATTTGTCTGCCAACTTACCCCAGGCGAACTGGGTGAGGACAGATACAGCGTGTTCCTACTAAACCGGCGAGGAATGAACAACTTCGACGTCAAACTTTCAACCGGAGACGACATTGAGATCACGGAGGAGTACGTTATATTGAAGGTGGACGAGGAAGACAACACCGCTCCCCAGACACCCGAGAAAGGCGCAGTGATGGCTTCACCTGGAATAAAGGCAATGATATATGGGATTTGGATATTTTCGGAACCGCCTCCGAGCTCGACTGCGGATGCGAGGACGCTGAATGCACAGGTTATTAAGGAATGCGCGGTATATGCGGGGGAGAGCAGGAAGGCTGCGGAGGAACGACTGGCTGAGGAAAGAAGGCAGGCTGCTGCGCAGGGTAGTTATTATCCTAGTGATACGGGTGACGGGGAAGGGTTGCAGGGCGGAATACCCATGGGTAGACAGATTTCGCTCAAGGAGCTGTTTGGACAGCAGAGAGCGCAGGATGATGAGTGGAGTGTCAAGGTGCATAGTCCGGGTGCTGGGAATGCAGGGCCGCAACACACATCGTTCCCTCTGCCTCCTCACCAGCCTGCACCTCCGCTTCCCCAGCAACACGGAGGATGGAACCAGACAATGCCGTTTCCTTCGGGTGGGAATAATGTGTTGGGAGAACTCTTCCGCAGCGCCAGTATGAATTACCAAACAGGAAATAACAACTAGCCTTGAAAAGCACTTTTTGATACCCGGTTGCTGCTTCTTGGTTTTTTTACTTCTTGCATTATTAAAGGTGTTAGGGGCATAGCTCTATAGAATATTTTTGTCTTTCCCACCACACAGTCTAACTATTTGTCTATTCCAGACTCCTGAACTATATCTCTAATAAACCGACCAACCTTCTTTGCCATAATCTCATTATGTCCTGGATGAAGTTGTTAGCTCCTAGCACTACTCGGTTCCCCGTGGTTGCCACTCACCTATACAGAACCCATGAACAACCCCATCCTCGCACACCGTCAGAGACGGAGCTGGACCATCCTGTTGATCTCTTGTCTTGGACCGAATGATGTCTTCCCTAGTCGCCTCCGCTACCCAGTGGTCATTCCGGCCAAAGTAGAAGATCATCTTCGTAAGCCTGTCTCCAGAGGCATGTGTCGGGCTACTAAACCCCCATACCTCATCGTTCCACTTATCAGTGGATATCTCCCTCATTTCATCCGCTGCCATATGTCTGTGGATTTCCATTAGTTAGGTATCGTCAGAAACAAGTACCGGAAAACATACAATGCCTGTCTGACGATATGAGCGTTTCTCAACATCGATACGGTCGTCTCAACGGCCTGCCTGCGAGGATTCCTCATGAACCGGCTTACGACGGCGTAGAGCAGCATCTCAGGCAGTACCAGGACAAGAAACCGTGCAAACAAGCTCACTAGGAGAGGTAGACATGGAATATACAGCAATTTCTATCCCGATTGCAGTTAATTAGCATCGCCATGATATTCTAGACGGGCCCGTAGACATACCGTCAGTATCCTTCCGTTAGGAGACTTCGCTATATCCACCACAGTAGGAAACAGCATGATACCGCCAATGATGTCGAGGCCAAGTCCGTTGGCATCTCCATTTCCATTTGCGTCACGGGCGGTCTGGATCTTCCTTTGGAGACCGGCCTTCTCCCTTCTGCGCCGCATGATTTCCATAGCCATGTATGCTCCCACCGAATGGCCCATGACAATAACATTCGCTCGAGGCTGTTCGTCCAGTTTGCGCTCTCGCATAGCGGCGTCCTGCCATGCATGAACGAAGGATTCTAAATCCCGCTCCATGAAGGATATTTGATCATTCAAGCTGTAGAGAGCTGTGGCGGCGGCTGAGTTGCCCTCTTCTCCTTGAGCGGGAACCTCGAAGCCTCCCAGGCTTCTTCCGCGGATGATATATGAGCCATTGCCATCGGAAGTGGCATTGGCCTGGGATAACTCCGACGAGAGCAGAGAGAAGAAGAGATGGTAGTATGCTATTAGGCCTGGGTTGCCTGAGATGAAATATATCAGTGTCGTGGATGGGTAGAGGGAGGTGGTTCCCCCGCCCTGGCCTCCAGGACTGACATGTGATAGGAAGGAATTGGGCGTGATGTGAGGGTTGAGGTTGATGTTGATGCCGGGAGACATGCTGCGTGGCTTGAAGAGGCGGGTTCTGCGGAATATGCTCTTCATTCTCATGCGATCATGCATGGCCCGTCAATCGAGCAGCCAGCCGCGGCGTTTAATGCTTGGACGTTGCAAACCTGACGGGAGCGGTGGAGCCGCATCAAACTCAACCTCAACCTCAACCTCACTCAACCCAACACCACTCTACAACTGCACGAAGAAAGGGAAATATCAGAATAAAAGTCTCTATTATATCAATTGATCTGCCTTTTTTTACCCAGCAGCCAATTGAACAAAGCCGGCCCGGGTTCGAAATCCTGCATAACAAACAGCAAAGCGACTTCCGCCATTGAAACTGCCTGCCTACCAAATTCAAACCCCATACCTAACTATCAAATACCGTTCCATTCCCATCCGTTCCGTCCCATAGACAGGTAAACATACTCCATCACACCATCCCAGCCCATTCCCATCACCGTTCCCAAACGATTTGAAGAACAAATTACAACACTCAATCGATCGGATAACAAAACAAGCAAGAAAGGAAAATGCACGCAAGCAGACAAGCTAGCTAAATGGACAAGCAAACGAACTGAACTGAACTCCAGGGCCAGAAAGGAGGGCCCGAGTGGGGGTTTTCTTCTTCTTCTTCTCTCTCTTATTTACCGTACAGAGTGGATGGGTGAGTGAGTGAATTATGGGAAGCTGAAGCTGGCTCCGTGGGTCAGTTGGCATGTAGGTAAGATGCTGCGTAGAGAAAAAAAAAGGGGTAGGGAGTAAGGATGTTATATGGATCGAAAGCAGGACCGAAACCGGAGTGGAGAGAGGGATATATTGGAGTTTTGGATGAGAGGTTCGTAGAGCTCGGTTTCGGGGTCGGTCGGTCATTCGTGGGTATGTATGTATGTAATGCAAGTATTCGCAGCAAAAACACCCCCTTTTATCACTCTATAGATCAACTTTTTTTTTTTCAGAACTTTTCAGCATCTTCTTTTTGCTTCGTTTGAATTTGATTTGCATTCGCGTCTTAACTCGCTGTCGCTGTGGCTGCTACTGGCGTTGTCGCAGTTGTTGGAGTGGCACTGGCAGTCTCGGGAAGAGGCTCATTATGCTCCGTGCTATCTTGCGAGCCACCTCCTCCGCTATCGGCTGAGCCAGTGTCAGCGTCACTGCCATCACTTATGGCTGCAGTAGCTGGTGTTGGGGTGCCGTCAACAATTCCTGCACCGTCGGTATGTTTCTCCCCGGCTGGCTCCGGCTTTGACTCCGAATTAGAATCGGTTAAGTTCTCCTGACTCTGATTCTGACTCTTGAGCGCCATCTTTGTAGAAGGCGAGACATTCAGCGTAATTGCAATCTTCTTCCCAGCTGTCTGTGGCTCCTTTGAACCATCTTTCTCAGCTCCGTTGCCTTTCGAGCTCGGGCTGGGGCTCGGACTCGCACTTGGGCTCCGTCCCTGACCCTTTTTCGTTCGTAAGCTGCCGTTTCCGTTCCCATTACCACGCTGGAATAGGGGGGAGACGGAGTTGGATGGGTTGACCGAGTTGCGCCGCTTAGAGCCCGAGGAGAGCTTAATAAGTTCATCGTCGTCATCATCCTCTTCTCGACGGCGCTTTTCAGAAAATGAGAACCGCTCGATTTTCTGCTGCTGCTGCTGTTGTTGCTCTTGCTCTTGCTCCTGCTCTTGCTCCTGAAGCTGCGGTGTTTGCGCACTCGCATCTTGCTCATCCATGGCGTCATCATCATCGTCATCGTCGTCTGGGTAATCGACAAGCGGCTTGTTAGGGGTGCCATTGGGGGCGCCGGAGTTTGTATTTTCGGGCTTAACCTGTGATGAAAGCTTGGGCATGAGCTGCACAGTTCTGTGTCCGGAGCCTCTGCCACAAGAAGTAGCAGCCGCAGCCGCAGCCGCAGCAGCTACTTCGCCCTCCCAAGAGAAGAATCCTACCTCGTCTTCCTCATCGTCTGAGGTCTCAAAGTACTCCTCCTCCGCGGCGGTCAAGTCACGAACACCCATTGCACCCCAGCGTTGGGCGCCACCACTGATAATCATGCGTGTGGGCGTTGACGAGGCTTCGTCCTGGCTGAACACGGTGCTTGCTGCATCGCTGCTTTCGGCACCGGTGGCGGCGTTGGTTCCGTATCCTTGCATCTGGTCGTAGCGCAGGATCAGGTTCTGGAAGGTATCTACGTAGGTGATGTTCTGGATCTTTTCGCGGTAACGTTCGACAACATGGCCTATGATGGGCTTGATGTTTTCGCGTTTGATGAATTCGAAGAGGTCGAGGCAGGCGGAGTTGAGGAGGTTGTCGCGGGGCATGGTTTCGTAGACGATGTTGAGGATGAGGTCGAAGGTGTTGTTGTGGGTGAGTTGGGCGTGGTAGAAGGTGTCGTGGAGGCTGACGAGGGTGCGGAAGAATTTCAATGCCACTGCAGCGGTTAGTCTGGATCAGATTAGATTGGAATGTAGGCTGGCGTACTTAGTTTGAGGTGTTTCTGGGTGACGGTGAAGAGCTGGGCGACTCGCGGGATAAGGGATTCTTCGCGGATGAAGGAGCGGCTGCGGATGGGATGCTGGCGGACGAAGAAGGTGAGAATCTCGACTAGGTGAGCGAATAACGACACCTGCTGGAACGACAATCCGGAGACTATAATCACAGTCAGTATATCTATAGATACATATATATGTATGGTAGGGATGCGTACGGTCTTCTTGTTCGGCGAGGTGAGTTAGGGGAGCAAAGAGCCTCTTGGCCGAGCTGTCAAAGTGGTTCTGCATAAAAGCGTCAGCAACGGGGTGTGGTTGTATCTGAGCCTGGCCCTGGCCGCCCTGCTGGCCCTGACGCATCTTTACTACCTCTCCAGAGCGCAACTCTTGCATCTGCGGTTGTGGATCAAGCAAGACCTTGAGGGCGTCGGCCAGCTGGTTCTTGACGCCCAGGTCTGCCTCGGAATGCAGCAGGTCGATGAGGGTGTCGGTCAACGAGACCTTTTTGTCGGTAAAGGCCTTGAGCATGTATCCGCGCATGGTGATGGGGTCATGATCGAGCAGGACGACTAGGATATCGATGCCGGTAGTTCTGAGGGCGGGAGTAGGATGTTTGACGGCGAATGCAATGACTGAAAACAGGCCGTGGTTTATGAGGTTTGCAAACAGGTTCCCGCGGGACTGGGCCTGGAGGTTCTTTGCAATGCTCATGCACTGGTGGAGGAACTGGACGGCGTCTTCACGTTTGCGAGCTTCGGCGGGCGGGGACTCGGGAGCGAAGAGGGAGAAGAGTTCGCAGAGGAAGGCGGTGTTGGTCTGCAGGTGCTGGACGATGTCGACCTGGTTGAAGAAGATGAGGGAGTTGAGGACGGAGAAAGTAGGGTCGTCGAGGATGCGGGCGAGGACTACGTCTTTGAGGTACTGCAGGCGCCAGGTGTGGCGTATCTTGCGCAGGATGATGGGATCTTTGATGGGGACTACTTCCTTGTAGCGGGAGCGGTCGTTGAGGTACTGGCGGTGGTTTGCCTTGTGGGTGGGGAAGTCCGGGTCGTACTCGAGGGCGCCGACGACGGCGGAGATGACGGGATCGGAGACGACCTGTTCGATGATGGTGTTGTCGTTGAGCAGGATGAGGGCCTTCATGATGTTGCAGAGGCGGTGGAGGTCTGCGAGCCCCTCGAGGTCTTCGGCGACGGCGACCAGGGGAAGCAGCTTGAGGATGTACTGTTCCTGGATGACGAAGCGGGCGATGGCGTCTCTACCTGGCTGGGTAGCACTGGCGCCTACGATGAGGTGTTCGATCTCTGCGAGGTTTGTGAGGTCTGGCGGCGGGAGCATGATGGCGCTGGGGAGGCCGTCCATGGCGTCGTCGGACAGCGAGTCGTCTTCACATTTTTAGTATCATATATGCACAGGGAGGGTAAAGAGCAAACGTACCAGCCCCGAGGGGAGCGAGATTCTGCTGAACATGGCGCACGAAATCCCTACTCTAGAGTGTCAGCTGTCGCGTGTCCTTTGGATATGTATGTATGTATGTCTGGTGTCTGCCTGATAGCGAGAACGAAGGAGTCACAAAAGTCCGCACCATATCACTCCGCAGCCCTCTGCCTCCTGGAAGCTCAGCGCCATGTCTGTCCCGTTCTGCTCGGTCCATACTATCAGTGTTTCTACCAGCAGTCAGTCCAGGGTCTATCGTAGTAACAGGAGTAAAGGCCTACCCTGCTGCTTCTGGTATCCGTCCTCGCGCGAGATGCGAGTCTCCAGCAGCATGCGATCCGGCTGGTCCTCCGACTGCACCAGTATCTTCGGCTCATCCTGTGCACGTCAGCATCACTTTCCCTGTCTCTCGTTCGTTATCTGTAAGGGCAGAAGAGGTACACACGTCTGTGATCTGGCCGGTGCAGAAGCCCGTCCCCCGGTCGAACCAGTCGTTGTTCCGCAGCTCGTAGACCTTGACTCTCTTGCGGTCGTTCAGCGGCGGCACCGGGAACGACATGGCCATGGCCGCTGCAGGAGGAGCGCTGCCCTCCGTGAGTCTCTCTCTCGCGTCTGCCTGTCCGTCTGTCCGTCTGTTTCTTTTGCGGGTGTCTCTTGCGGTGATGCCAGCCAGCGATGCTGCAGGGCGAGTTGAGTGCGGTGGGCGTTAGGCGACGCGCAAAACTCTGCCTCGGCTGGCGCAAGCGCGGTGCGGCGGGAAGGGCGTCTAAGCAGGGAGAAGAAGAAAGGAGAAGCAGGAGAGGAAGAAGTCGACGGCCTTCCGGGTGTGTTTTTATGACGGAGGATGTCGCGGTGACGGCGGCGGGAAGTGGAGGGTCGAGGGTCGAGATGCTGGTTAGAAGTTCAAGTGGTGCAAGTTGAAAATGACGAAGAAGAGGAAGAAGAAGAGGAAGAAGCCAAGGGAGGAAGACGAAGACGAGGCCAGCCAGCAAGGGACGGCCACGCGACGGCGAGCTGCAGGGCTAGTCAGGGAAGATGCAGGCAGAGAAGAAGCAGAAGAAGAAGAAGAAGAGAAGAAGAAGATAAAAAAGATGGTGAAGATGAAGACGGTCGAGACGTCGAGATGGCGCTTTTGGTGACGCTGGCGGAGTCGCTAGCAGGACTAAGACTCTACGACTCTACGACTATTCTAGGACTATTCTACTATTAAGAGAGAAGAAGAAGAAGAAGAAGAAGAGAAGAGAATAAGAGAAGCTCTTGCTGGAGTCTTCAGTCTCTTCGTCTTCGTCTTCTTCTTCACTGCTGGTTTCTTCTCTTCTTCTCTTCTTCTCCTTCCACTGACTCTACCTCTTACTGCTCTTCTTCTGCCTACCATCGACTGCTCTCTCTTCCTCTCTCTCTCTCTCTCAGCTTCTTCTTCTCTTCTTCTTCTTTTCTTCCTTTTCTTCTTCTTCAACTTTACTTTTTCTTATTTTTTTACCTTTTTTTACTTTTTTTTTCTGGCTTTTTTTCTTTTTTTCGCCGTCGATTTTTCTATCACTCGCAGACGCTGGACTCTCGGACTTCAAGATATCAAACAGACAGACAGACAGACAGACGAAGACGAAGACGAAGAGAGACCTCGTATCCCTCTCTGCGGCCTCTTCAGCGACAGCCTTGACTCGCTAGCCAGCCTCGAGCAGACGACTTCTGGGAGTTTTGCGTCTGCTTCTGCCTATAAAGCTCCCTCGTCCTCCGCCGCCACCACCACCACCACCATCTACACCCTCGATATATCACTATATATCACTACTATATCACTATATATTAATATATAATAGTCAATATGGCTGAAGACACGATTGAGTCTGCGCGGTCAACGCCGTCAGAGGGAGCGTCGACTACCCGGCCGCTGATGAAGAGCGCCGATGCCTCTGTCCAGCCAGTAGTCGCTGATGCAGAGACCGACAGCGACAGCGAGAAGAAGGGCTACTTTGCCTACTTTCGCACTCGCCAGTTCTACATCGTCCTGCTCTTGGGGTATGCTTCTATCTTGCTATTCTATATATCCAGAAAGAAAAGAGAAAGACTGACGGGATAGGATAGCCAAATACTCGCGCTCTGCATCACGGCGACCAACACCTTCTCGGGCCTGCTCTCGTCCGCAGGAACCTCCATCCCGGCCTTCCAGACGCTCTTCAACTACGTCCTGCTCACCCTCGTCTACACCTCCTTCACGCTCTACCGCTACGGCGCCCGCAAGTGGTGGTCGCAGCTCGTCCTGCGCGACTGGTGGAAGTACCTCATCTTCGCCTTCTGCGACGTCCAGGGGAACTACTTCATCGTGCTCGCATACCGCTACACCACCATCCTCAGCGCCCAGCTCATCAACTTCTGGGCCATCGTCATGGTCGTCCTCATCTCCTTCACCCTGCTGCGCGTCCGCTACCACTGGGCCCAGTATGCGGGCATCCTCGTCTGCATCGGCGGCATGGGCGTGCTCTTCGGCTCAGACCATATCACGGGTGCCAACAGCGGCGGGCCAGACAAGTCTCGCGGCGACCTGATCAAGGGAGACCTGTTTGCCCTGCTTGGAGCTACCTTTTACGGCCTCACAAATGTCGCGGAGGAGTACCTGGTTAGCAAGCGGCCGATGTACGAGGTGCTCGGCCAGCTGGGCATGTACGCCACCGTCATCATGGGCGTGCAGGCGGCCATCTTCGACCGGGCCTCGTTCCAGCAGGCAGTCTGGAACGGCGCGGTGGCGGGATACCTGGTCGGGTATACGCTGTGTCTCTTCCTGTTCTACAGCCTGGCGCCATTGCTCTTCCGCCTGGCCAGCGCGGCGTTTTTCAACATCTCCCTGCTCACCAGCAACTTCTGGGGCGTCGTGATCGGGGTCAAGGTGTTTGGCCTGCGCATCCACTTCCTCTACCCCATCGCCTTTGTGCTCATCATCATCGGCCAGTTTGTCTACTATCTCGGCAGACAGGTGCTCGGCGAGGCCATGAAGCCCTGGCTGGGCGAGAACCAGGAGCAAGGTGTCATCGGCATCGGCACCGCCAGGAGGAGGAGAGATCATGGCACCAATGATGCTACTGCTGCCAGCGCTGACTCTAATGTCTAATGATCCATACATACATACATCTCGGTACATATACGGAGTATACGGAGTATATCTTCACCATCACCATCATATATATATATCATGACTGTCATGAGTTTGGATACTTACTACATAGCTAATACAAAAAAAAGGTCATTTCGTTCATTCGTTCAGTCATTTCCCTCCAACCGCAAGGCTGACAAGGCAGACCTGTAACCGAGAAGAAGCAAGACAGTAAGACTCGCTTGCAAGTAACAAATTGAACCTCCCGTCCCGTCCCGTCCCTTAGCTAGCCAAAAGAATAAAAAGAAAGGAGAAGCCATCGGGTATTTATTACAACTTAGCACACTGCACACGAGTCAGATGAAATGAAATGCATTAAAGAGTAAGCAGAAGAACGAAAAGAAAAAAAACTCCGGAATGATAAGAAGAGAAGAACGAGAAGAAAGAAGAAAAAGCAGTCCAATTCCCAGGCTTCCCAGCCAGCCAGCGTAGACAAGTCGAAGTTGCGCCTGTCTTTTATCTATGGCCCTCACCACCAGCATCCGCATCCTCAACCGCACCCAGGCAAGAACACACACAATCAACACCAGAAAGATAGACAAAAAATCAAAAAGACAGACAAGCAGCAAGAGAGAAAACAAGAGAAACATTCCAGGCCGATCCCTTCAACCCTCCTTTCCGATGACAGTATATAAACCCCAACAGACAGACAGACAGACAGACAGACAGACAGATGAAGCAACCAAGAACGGTAAATGGCGGATTAAAGAGTTGAGTGGACTCCTTTGCATCCCCTTGAAGTTGAACGAGATGAGATAGTAACCAAGAAGAAGGGGAATGGGGAATGGGGAATGGGGGGGAATAGATAGACGGACCAGAAATGAACCGAAAGAAGCGACAGCAAAAAAAGCAACCTATTAGTTGAAAACCAGCGAGTAACAAGCAACCGACGACCAACTACCGACCAACAACCAACAACCAAACCGCTGCCTTGGGAATCAGGCAGTATAAGCAGTAGAGTAAAAATGAATGAAGACGACAGGACGTAAAATGGTGTGTGCGTGCAGTAAATCATCCCCAGACAGAAGCCTGGACGCCGAGCTGGTTCTTGCCTCGCCATCCCCAGCCCAGTCCGACGGTGGGGGAGGATTCCTTCATCGACTGGCTGGTGCTGTTGTTCCCCGATGCAGATCTGCTGGTTGCTGCCGCGGAGCTCGATTGGGTTGCACTGCCGGCTCCCGCGTCCGTGCCGGTGCCGTTCCCGCTGCCGTTGTTGCCGTTGCTGCCGTTGTTGGCGCCGCCGGTAGCACTGGTGGCGGCGGCAGCGGTGCTACTGCCGATTCCGCCGTCTTCGTTGGGCGAGAAGCCGTAGCTAAGCGGCGAAGGGAGAGGAGTGGTGGAACGCAAGCTGAGAGATGGGTTGGGGCTCTGGTTAGTTGGTGGTTGCTGCTGTTGTTGTTGCTGCTGAGGTTGATGCTGCTGCTGAGACTGCTGCTGCTGCTGCTGCGGTTGGGCAGGACGAGAGCCAATGGGACCTACGCGGGATGGGGAGGAGTCAGTCGTTCCCTTGCCAGTGGGGGAAGAGGTGGGTGGCTGGCTGGGTTCAAAGACACCACCGTACGTCGTCGTCGTCGCCGCCGAGCCCGGGTTGGTGTTGGAGGGCGGAGAGGCCGTTGAGGGAGGCGAGCGCGTGCGAGGAGCTACCGAGCACGGCACGTTGGCTCCCGATGTGGCTTGCTGGGTCTGGCTGTCGGCATGGGGCTGGCCGCCGAGAAAGGGGTCGACGCCTCGGGGTGAGGCTCCGCGGCCGCCGCTGGGGAGGCCTGTCGTCGGGGTGCCGGCGGCCTGCGAGTGGGAGTCGTCGCCCGGACCGGCACTGGGGGTCTGGAGGGCGGAGTCGTTGCCGTACAGAGCACGGTGCTGGCGAGCAATCAGGTCACGGCGGCTCTCTTCGGTCATGGCCGCTGGGCTCATGGATCGGTCGGATTTGTCCCCTGAGATGTCGGCGAGAAGGCCTTTTTTCCCGTCGAAAACAAAGCCAAGAAAAACAAAGATAAGTACAAATCCATATAAAAGCAATATACAAAAAAAGGAGAATAAAATAAAGAGAAGAAGAAGAAGAAGTAGGTCCGAGATGTAAGGGTTGGTTGGATAGCTTCGCAGCCGTGTGGGAATGAAGGTATGATAACAGTATCACGTACTTCGATTGTATTGCTGTTCTTGGTGGTAGTTGCGTAGCTCTCTCTCGCGCTGGGCAGCCAGTCGACGCTTTGCCTGGATCATCTGTTCGGTCTCGTTCGGACGGCCCTGGAAGCGTTGAGCGGCGTAGAAGCCCTGCAGGTTCGAGGCCGAGTGCGGACGCATGGCATCGTAGTCGCCAATTGAATGGTGACGGGACGCTGCCATTGGGCCCATAGCACGGGGATCTAGACATCCAACGCAGATTCATCGTTAGCAACCAACACAACCAACACAGCATCCTCGATCTGGCTTCAGGCACAGACATACCGGTGAAATCATAAGGTCGACCCATCATCATCGGCATCGAGTCCCGACGAGGCAGACCTCCAAAGGTCTTCCCGCTCTTGGACAGGTTATCGATGGCTCGCTCCACCTCTTCATGGTTCAACCCGTCACAGTTAGCATCGTCGTTCTATCATCAGCCCTTTTTTGGCCGAGATCAATATGTATATATATGTATATCTATCCATACCATCGAATTGAGAGGCAAAGGCGTTGGACTCGGGTTCTCTCTGGACGGTCGAGCTAGTGCCTGCATTTCCCCCACCACCAATTGAATCAGCCTCAGCCCGTTGCAAGTTGTCTTCAGAGTTGCCGCTGTGGTAGAAGAGGTGGCTGTCTATACCTGACCGTGAAGGGGGCGCCGACGCTTCCCACGAGGCCTGGCGCATGGGAGCCTGCCATCCCTGGGGCTCGTAGTATGCCATGATGTCAACGTCGACGCAGGTGGTTGTGGTCTTCGTGTGTGTCTTTTCGAGGGGAGAAAATCGAGTTTGTTCCAGCGCAACTTTTTTTTCTTGCTTATAAATTTCCGGAATCCGCAGGGAGAAAAAAAGGACGACCGACGAAACGACGCAGGAGGGAAGAAATAATAAAAAGAAAGAAAGAAAACTGCAGCAAGAGACGCCGTTAGTTAGAAGGGGAGATCTCGGAATTCAGGGGGACGTTTGCTCTCTCGACCAGGGACGGCGGCCTGTAACCAAGGTTCCAGCGCAGCTTTAAGCTTCCACTGCCGCAGTTGAGAGTGAAGACGAAGACGAAGAATGAAGCAGGAGAATCAATTGTAGAGGAAGACAGCCAGCGAGTCACTCACCCAACGACGACGACGACCCCGTCTTCCAAACAAAAAAGAAAGAAAAGGTACCTGGGCTATCTGGGGCCTCGCAAGCCCATGGGGGATCCGGCTGGGAGAACTGCGGCGAAGGAGTTCCCTTTTTTTTTTTGGCTGCTCTTCGACGGAGCGAACGGGAAGCGAGGGGGACGCAGGGAGGCAGACGAGGACGAAGACGAGGACGGACGAGCGAGACGCAGCGAGGAGGGACTTTCTGGGGGCCCGCAGAGACGGCAGAGACAAAGACGAAGACGAAGCTGAAGAGACGCTGAAGCAAGAAAAAGGTCGAGAGGATGAAGCAGGAAAAGAGAGAGAAAAGGGAGAGAGAGAAAGAGAGAAAAAAAAAATTCGTGAGGAGGAAAAAAAACGACTAGAAAATGCGGCAAACGGTCGGACAGAGGGTGGTGTATTGTAATTACGAGAGTTACGCCGCGGAAGAGACAGCTGGGCCCCGCGCGGAGGGAGGTGCGGTTACCATACGATACGACTACTGAAACGACCTAGGGGGAAAGGCCGCGACATTGGATGGAGTTGTAGATAACTTGATAGACGGACAGGAGACAGCACAGTAATTAAGCCGAGGAGAGGAGAAGACGGCGGGAAGATCAAGTACTGGGCAGTGTGGAAAAAGGCAGAGCCGGAGACAGGGGAAGAGTTGCACAGACACAGCTACGGCAGAGTACGAGGACGGAGCACAGCATCGCAGGACAAGACAGTCGAACCATGGGACGGCGAAGACGGCGAGGGCGATGACAGGAGAAAAAGGTCGACAAGTCCGCGCAGATGATCTCCAGCCCTACCTCAGCCAGGTCGATCAGATATCAGAGATCCGGGTGGGTTTAGAGTGTTGCTGGTTACATCTCATCTCGCCTGTCAGAAGGCCGTCACCCCCGGGACATGAAGCAGAAAGAGGCCGAACAAGATGCTTGACATGCAGGTAGGAGAACCGTGGGATAAAAAAAAAAAAAAAAAAGGTAGACCTGCTCTAGCCGGCTGCAAGGAGGGGCCTGGCTCGTCATGGCCTGGCTGTTGTTGCAGGCCGTCATTCCAGCGCCTTTCCAGAAGCCAGCTCGCATCACATATATGTCAGTGGCCGCACAGCACCTAGCTGCTCGGACTGTGACATGATCGAATGGCGTCTTGGGAGGTCCACTGGACGAGATAGACGGACTGCGAGCATGGCCGGAGATAGCCTCGACCTTGGAGGCCGGACGGAGCGTGGCAGGGATGGAGATATCAAATTTCCTCCCACGGTGGTGTAAGTAACTAAGTAAGGGCTGAAGGTTGGAGAGCATAAAAGTCGACGATGCGGAGAACACCCGTATAGTTAAATAGTAACTAACTAGCTAGTCAACGGTCTTTTAAGTTCGCCGTTTATCACTATCTTGAGGTCAGCTTTGGTATATAAAAAGGGCAAGTCCATACATTCATACATACATACATACATACAAGCCTGAGGATAGTCGTTCGGGTCACCAGTTAGTAGCGGCTGATCGACCATGAAGATGATGTGCATCACGCCAGCCGAACCGGCTCAGAAGTATGTAACCTACTAACTTGGGAGTCAAGCAGATGAATACGAGACGAGATAGCCGTGGTAGCCAGAGAAAAAAAAAGGGACATCAGTCATCATGCAACCCTATCTTGTTAGTGTTGACTGAGTTAACGAATCCCAGATATAGGCCATGGATGGGCTCGCTAGCCATCACGATGTGCATACTTTCTCTGCCAGAGGGTGTGCGTGTGCGTGCCTGTATATACCATGGGCTGCCATGTGAGAGAAGCTTCTGTTTGCATTTGATATAACCACGGAGCAGGTAGATATCACTCGGGATGCAGCGGTTGGGGAAGACCATGCTCTCTTTCCCTCCCTTTTACTGTCACCCTTTCCCCATCTCCCTTGCCCATTTCCCTATCTTCACTCTTCACTCTCTTATCTCCCTTGCAATGGTTCGTCCTGCTCGGGAGTGTACCCTGGTAGCTACTCCACTGGAGGAGGTCGGGAGAGACATCCGCCGTCCTGATCATGAATATCATGGAGAGCAAGCCAGAGGGTACTCTGTCGCTCTCTACTCCAGTTGGTCCCTCAGTTGGGTCCGCAGTATGTATGTATTGTATGAGTGCAAGTCAGTAGTCTATCGTTTCCGGCCAGGCTAAGGGAACCGGCTGTCCATCCGCTCTTTGTCTGATCGGCTAGTTTTACCTCCTTCTGCTCCTCCTGATAGGAACATGTATGAGGTCTAAAGACAAAAAATATATCCGTAAGTGCTTACTTATATGGGGCTGACCGAGTCCTGGTGCTATTTTGGGCCACCGCCATGGACACGGCATGACTTTCTTTCGCATTATATTGCCTCGTGGCGCGGGGTGAAGATAGTTTATATTGTCTCGATTCCTTGAATGAAGGTTTAGTTTAGTTGATTTGTCTTGTTTGGTCAGTTAGTTAGTGTGTATCGATACCGCGTGGACGGAGTGTACAGGGATACCTCCTTCGACATAAATTTAAATAATGGCCCCGGTGGGCTGTCCTCTCACAGAAGTACTTAAGTATACTGTACAGGACATCCCTCCCGCCTACCCCGGGCCCAAAGCCATGATTCTTTGTCCTGTGTATGGTCAACCGGGTAATTTTGGAATGCTTGGAGCGGCCGGAAAATAAGGTTATGCTCCTTTTTCTTCTTATCTGTGTTATAACTGGCCCGGCTAGATGCATTGTCCATATAATAATAATAATAGGGGAGGGAGGGGGGTGACCCCATATAGTAGAGTTGTAGTCAAATTCTGGCCCGGCGTTTTACCATGGTGATCAACCGCAGAGGGCAAGCAGGCAGTCTTGAGAAAGCCCGACAAGACGACCGGAAGAAAGGGAGCAAGTTCTCGAAGAAAGAGGAGAAAAAGTCCGGGGTAACTAAAAAAAGGGAGAGGAGAGGGAGTCTGAGGCTGATGCAGGATGAGCCAGCCAGCCAGCCAGCCAGCCAACCGTCGAGCCATCGAGCCAGGATTGAGACCGGTGCTCCGTAATCTCCCATGTCTTAATCAACAACGCAGGTGGAACTTGTCTCTTGCATATCTCTTGTCCAGCACGAAAAAAGGGGGCCCAGGCCAGCTTAAGTAGATAGTTATAGAGCCGATCCAGCATCTGTCCGACGCTGAGCAGCAGCACACATAGGCAGAGAGGGCCGGGCGAAGCCTCCGAGGGCTACCATCGAGCAGGAGGCGCACATAGTACAGGGAAGCAAACTTCGTCTCGTTTCTTTTTCTCTGTAAAAGCAGTTAGTACATCCCTGGTACATCCCTGGGCCTCGTCCTCTGCCCTACGTCTGTCTGGCTGTCCATCCTCCTGTCTGTCTCTTCCTGGAGGCGCCTGTCCTGTCCTGTCTCTGGCTGTCGTCTCGTCTCGGCAATAGGGATGTGCGAGCGTAGCATGGCGGGCTCCAGGCATGACTCTCGACCAAGGCCATCACACGATCGAGCAGGCCTCATGCGTCTCTCGCCGTCACTGCTGCTGCTGGTGGTGGTGCTGCTGCTGGTCTTTATCGACCCTCCTCTCCGTCTTATCGTAGTTCTCCCATAGTCTTTTCTCTGCTCCGTCGACGGTCTCTGGTAGTTAACTCTCTGCCCGTCAAAGGGCCCATCGTAGTTTGACGTTTGCAGCCACTGCACCTCCACATTAACCCGTTCCTCCCCTTCCGCTCTCCCTCTCTGCCTCTCTTCCGTCTTCTCTCAAACCGCATCTGTCCGTCTCATCTCCATCTCCATCTCCATATCCATCTCCATCATCACCATCACCATCACCGTTGCTGTCGTGTCGTCGTCGTCGCTGTCTTCTGTGTCGTTGCGTGGGCCTTGAGGTTGACCTTCTACGGCCGCCCACTGCGACCAGCCCCGAAGCCCCCTCCCAAACTCGCTCGACCTTCCTGGAACTTTCACTTCGTCGACTTTCATTCCGCAACTTCAACCTTTCTTCAACTTCCACCCAGCGCTCCACGACCAGCCCAGCTGCTGCATCCTCTTCACGCCCCGTCCTCGACGCCGTCTCTCTGCCAGCACAAAGACCGTTGTCGTCTCGCTCGCGGCTGCTCCTCGCTGTCCTGCCTCCCGGGGGCTCGATTGACTGCAAATCTAGGTGTTTTTGGCATTGGCCGCCGGTCTCTTCTCTGCTGCTCACTGCGTTGCGTCTACCTGCATCCTTCACGGACCGACTCTCTCTCTCTCTACGCTTGCTCCTGGGCTGCTGGAGAGTCCTCCTCTGCCAGTGGTGCTTCGCCTGCTGCTCTCGTGTTGCCGATTGGGTTGGCTCTCTCGCCTCGAGTCTCCAGCTGCTTACACGCCGTTGAAAGAGAGGACGGACGCCCTTTCGCCCTTCCTGATATCCACCCCCCTCCCCAAGCCATCTCTCTTCCTACGTGTCCTGTATCCATTTACCGTCTACTAGAAACTCCAGTTTTAGCTGGCAGGAGGCTCTTTGGCTTTGCTTGCTCGCTGCAAACAAGATTCCTCGCCTCCCTTTTGTGACCCACGTTCTCCAAATCCCGGGAAAAGGCAACGGAGAAAATTATATATACAACCAGCCAGCCCGCCCTTACGACTTGGTCCATTCCTGACAGACAGGAACAGCCCTATCGAGGAGGAAATTCGGACGTCGGCTGCTTCATGGGAGCAGGTGTCAATGGGCATGTCGCATCTTTACACAGCAAGGGTGACGTCTCCCCGGTAGCGTCAGATCGGTCTCCCGCCATGGCCTGGGCTGTGCCGACTGAGATCCCTAATTACCAGCCCCCTTTCCGACCTACCCTCCCCACACAACAATCTAGCTCTCTCCCGTCTACTCCTTACCAACTCCCTCGTGACCTCTCTTTTCGATCCAGATCCCCTTCACCACACCGCGGCAGTATATCTCCCAGATCTGCGCATTCCGAATTCAACCATACCCTGCCCGCCGTCCGGAAAGAATATGGCGGGGGCTGCAAGTATGAGACGGGCATGGCCCATTTCAGAAGGCGGATGCCATACTCCCTTGGCAGTGACATGCTCCCGGACGAGCCTGGACCGCTAAAGGAGAAGCTTGAGCCCGAAAAGGAGGTAAAGCTGAGTAGGGACATCAAGGAGCTCTACCAGAAGCTATTACCGTCTCCAGAAAGTGAAGAGAGAAGGGTGAAGTTTGTGCGGAAGCTCGAAAAGTTGCTGGACACTCAATGGCCTGGCAACCAGATAAAGGTCAATGTTTTTGGCTCTTCAGGGAACAAACTTTGCACAAGCGATTCTGATGGTACGTTAACTATCCAGACTCTCTCTATATTTGTCGAATGACAAACTGATTTACTTGGTAGTCGATATTTGCATAACGACACCGTCGAAATGCTTCGAACCAGTCTGTGTTCTAGCCGACTTTTTGGCCAAGAGTGAGCACTCCTCCTTATTCTACTCTTCTTCAACAAGGCCTTTCTTCGCTAATTCTTCGTATACAGGCGGAATGGAGCGAGTTGTCTGTGTGTCACACGCAAAGGTTCCTATTGTAAAAATATGGGATCCAGAACTGCAGGTGGCTTGTGATATGAACGTCAACAACACACTAGCACTCGAGAACACGCGGATGATTAAGACGTACGTCGAACTCGATGACCGAATTCGGCCGTTGGCAATGCTAGTGAAACATTGGACCAAACGGCGCATCCTTAATGATGCTGGTATGACTCTCCTGTGACGCTTTAGTTTTCTTTCCCCTATTCTCTCTTATGTTCACAAACTAAATTCTTCGACAATCATGCAGCGCTTGGAGGCACACTTAGCTCATACACCTGGATATGTCTCATCATCAACTTCCTACAAACACGAATACCGCCCATCGTTCCGAGCCTCCAGAAACGGGTTGCCCAGTCAGAAGGTTCAACAGATGGTTCCTCCATAACCTCTACCACATCATGTACCTCCACATATTCCTCGTTCGATGATGATGTCGAAAAGCTCGGCGGGTTCGGTGACGATAACAAGTCGACACTAGGCGAGCTATTGTTTCAATTCTTCCGCTACTATGCCCACGAGGTTGACTACGAGAAGAATGTCATGTCGGTTCGTCATGGAAAACTAATATCGAAAGAAGAGAAAGGGTGGCATCTTCTACAAAACAATCGTTTATGTGTCGAGGAACCGTTCAACACTTCAAGGAATCTAGGCAATACCGCTGACGATACATCTTTCCGTGGTCTCCATCAGGAGCTAAGAAGAGCTTTCAAGGCAATCTCCGAAGGCAATCTGGATGAATGCTGTGAGCAGTACGAATACCCACCAGAGGAAGAACGAGTCTGGGAGCGTCCAGCACCCCAACCACGTCCCGTTATCACCCCCGTGCCACCAGCCCATTCAAATACCCGTGGAGGCAGAGGTGGAGGAAGGGGAGGACGGAATCAAAATCACTACAACAATCGTGGATCGCATGGAGGCCGACGGGCATCCAGTGCTGCCAACAGATCAAATATGGCTCGGCACCAAAATGCGGCCTTTGCTGCGGAAATTGCCTTGCAGGCGCAACAGGCGCAACATGCACAGTACTTACTGCACGATCATCTCTACCAACAGATTCAGATCCTCCAGGCACAGGAACAGGAATTGCGCATGAAGCAAGCTATGATAAGTAGTCGCGGCAACGCCTCGTTACTGCGCCAACAATACATCCAATTCCCGATGGTCCCCCAGCAGGACAGCGGTTCGCCCGACGAAAACTCCCAAAATCGAGCAAACATTATGCATGGCCAGGGACCCCTTACAACCCCTGTCCGACAGAACATCTTTTTCAGCCCTTCCTTTGTTACCCCCGTCAACGTTGCGGCACCACAGCCACAACCACAACAACCTCCATCAAATACGACAAATCCCCCCTCCCCATCTCCATCTACCGTGACGCCAGATACCCGCCGAAACCACCGACGGTCATCAATCACTAATAGCTCTCCGAGAAGTAGTCTAAGGGCCCAGTCTCAGCCTGCCCGGCCAATATCAGCCTGTGTACCAAACAACTTCAGCACGTTCTACGCAACTGCCATGGCCCAACCAGAAGCACAATATGTCCAGCAGCAGAGTGCCCGACAGTCACCGGATTCGCCTCAACGCACTCCAACAGAAAAGGACTACGGCTTCCCTGCCACAGGACCGTACTTCGTGAAAACAGGCCCAGTTGACGAAAATGGTATCTCGCCAGAGTACATAAGTTACTATGTTGGGGACTCACCCCAGACTCAAGGTACTTATAGCCGGCGTTCCATGGCATCATCGTATCCAGGTCACGCTGGACTTGCCATTCGCAATACCGGGCTGTATAATATATTTTATACCCCGACGGAATACCGACCCATTCCAATGCCAACCTTTGACCAGTCAAATATACCCCTGGAACAGCTGGATCACATGAACGTCCACACTCGAGTACCTCAGCAGCAACACTATCATCAGCAAGCTACACAGCCAAAAACCCATTCAGGCCAGGGTCCATTGATAATTGACGGGTCCATCCCTGCGAACGACTTCCGTCGCCAATCTACCCAAGATGAGCATAGCGAACAGTTCTTCACCCCGCAGCATTCATCCGTTCACAGTCAACGAACGTCTCGACAAGATACGCCGAATAACGGGTCTAGAGAACCATCTCCAACTGAGCAATTAGTTTATGACGAGGCTGATTCGGTTTTTGGCACGCCACATCATGAGACCCAACAGCATCATCCACAACTTAATGGGTGGACGCAAAACATCAGAACTAGCAATAAGCCCGCCATCAATGACCACATCGGCAGGCTAGAAACATTGTCAGAGCAATTGCAGCGTTTCCAGCTTTCCGATCCAGCATACTTACCTCATGTGGATGCAAGTCAGCTCGTCAAAGAAAATGGCATTCATACCCACGAACAGCACCACCACGCCAATGGGAGCGGAAATGGCAATGGCAATGGAAACGGAGTACATAATGCGCCCGTACAATCGCAAAAGCCAGCCACGAATCCAAAGGCTGCTCCTGCCAAAGAAACTGGGCGCGGCTCTTCCCCCACCGTGAAACGGCGTGGTAATGGCCCTGGAGCTGACACAGAGCACCACCCGAATGGCGTATCGCAAAAACAAAAACCAAGATGGCATTCTGTTAGCGGTATAGCCTCCTCGGCCATTCCTAATGCTACCGAGAGTAGGGAATCTCCGAAGCCCAACGGCGTTCACACAAACATGAAACCTGTTTCGAATGGCGGCGGTCATGACCACACCTCCACTTCCAATACCAACAACGGTGGCAACGGAGGCTGGCAAACCACGACAACCAAAAAGAAGAACAAGAAGGGGGCAAACAAACCGGCAACTGGAGCAGAACCGCTTCCTGCCGACGAATCGCTAAGAAAAGGCGGATGAAGGAACCAGTTTCCTTCGTTCCGTCTTGTCTCTCTGTAAAAAGAACCAAAAAGCATATATTTCGGGTTATTTGATTCCGGGATATAGGTATGATGTTCGTTCCTATCGATAGGGATATGCTCTGGGCTCAACAAATGGAGCAATCTACAACTCCCTGAAGAGAGTAGCTTGACCTTCACAGCTTCAGTCTGTCGCGGCTTTATCTAGCATGCAACTGCGCAAGTTACTATCTCGGCGCCCTGGCACGTCCTATCCACTAAGGCGCACAACATCAGCCAATAATACCAAACTAGAAAAAAAAACACACAGCCAGCGTACATATTTTCACAAGATTGAAAGATTCAACGCCCAATTTCTCCCCCTTTTTTCTTTTCTTTTTTTTTTTTTCACTTTTTTTTTTTTTTCTTCATTCAACAGGCGCGCGCGTGAATCGGTTTGGCTACTAGCAGCAGCATGTATGTGTACCCCCATGGAAGCAAGAGGTGAATAGGATTATATTCCTTCCTCTCTTCCCTTTCTCCCGCCCCATCTCTTCCCCCTTATCCCTTTTCCCCTTTCGGTTGGCGGTTGCTTTTTCATTTCAATCACAGCGAAAAAACCTTCTTCTTTCTTCTTTGCTATTACATGGGAATTAAAAGAACTCAGCATGTCAGTGATGAATTGTGTTTGCTATTTTCCCCTTCTTCTATCTGTCTCCCTACCTGTCTGCCTATGGATAGTGTTAATGCACTGCTCGGCACTGTTTCTAACCACTTATGCTGTTCAAGCTATGCTTGATGGGTTGATTGATAGTTTTTAACTACCAATCTTCTTTCCTCCTTTATCACCCCTTTCTGTGTCTAAAATTGGATGGATTATTTAATACCCCCAGCAATATCCTATTGTTTTTTTTTTTTTTGTTCTGTTCTACTCTGCTCTATTTCGCCTTTAGCCCATTGTTCTTGTTTTTTATTTCTGCTGGTTTACTCCCTGTTCCTACTACCCCTATAGATGCAGAATGGTCCTGTGCATGTCTTTACCCTTTTACCCCTTGTTTGATATCATTATCTGGCTACTTTATTGTTTTTTTGTTCTTTATGTTTGCTTGGATCATCGGAACGGGGTTGTAAGATGTTCTGCTGTTTTTTCCTCAAAGCTTTGGTCGAAGGTCAGGAATGTAGGGATAGAAGCTGTCTAGAGAGTTAGCGTAGCTAGTTACAAAAAAACCAAAGGAAAATTAACTAAAAAATAAAAAATTATATAAAAACAAAGACCATGGAATTGAGATTAAGCCATTAATTAAAGTATAATATTATGATTTTAAAGAGCAGAGAGGGGAGGGAAGGGTAGAACATTGAAGAACAGGACAAGAAAATCTAATTAATCCAATATCTCAACGTAACACTTATGCAAACATATAATGCAGAGATAATGCAACCATCAAGTCCGACCAACCCCAGTCATTAGAAAAGGAATGTATTGAAAATGAGCTAGAGATAAGCCTATCTGCCTAGCTCCGAAGCTCGGCAAATATGAAAGGAAGAATGACCCTGCAGGCAGTAAGAAGCACGATCATGCACTCGAAAAGGGTCAATGGGAGGAGGTAGATGGGTTTGCTAGTAAGGTGTAGCCAGATAGCGAGGAAGGATACGGAGTAAAAATGCCGTAATAGAACCCAAGGTGATCGAATAATGCCGGACAGCAGTCCGATGGGGCCGTCTATAAGTCCAAGTTGGAAATACCTGAAGCAGCCTCGTTGCAGGACTTTCAAATTAGGGTCTACGTAGTAGATTGTTAGTAACCACTACCCGGTAACAAAGGGAGGAAAGAAGATATGCTTACCACCAGCGGCGAATATAGAGTATAAGGCTTGAGCAAGAATATTGATGACAGAAATCAACGACTTCCGTTGCCAGTGGAACTTGGACAACTGTCTTAAAACAAGTTTGGTATCACTTAAATCAGGCACCGCCTCCGGGCTAAGCAGATCTCGGAGGAGAACGACATCATTAAATGCCACGGTCATACCGCCACCGGTCAACGGGTGACGCATGTTCAGGGAATCACCTAGGAACATCAATCCGGGGATCCTATTCGTGACGGGTCTGAGGAAGGAATTTGGCATAGACCGGAAGCCTCCCTTTTCTAACGCAGCTTCAAATGAGGGCTGAATACACTCTGGCAAAGAAGGCAGGACGACATTCCGCATGTGGCCCTTTACACCTCCGTTGGCAACTGACGCCGAAGGCAGGTTGTCCGGTATATCAATTAGAATTCGAGTCTCATGTTCTCCGATCTGGTATATCAATATGGGCGGGAAATCACCCAGGACAACATGGCCGTGGCCCGGTATGGGTAATTTCGCATCTATAAGCTCCAGGCCCCAGAATTTCGATTTGGCGACTGGTTGTATGGGGAGGTATTCCTTTCGGAACGTAGAGGCATAGCCATCCGCGACAACAGTCAGGGGCGCAAAATAAAAGTCTTGTTTGCCATCAGTCTGGCATTGAACTCCAAGGACATCCTCTGTATGCGTGGATTTTATGGTGGAAACGGCCTTGGTCTCGACAATGGTGACGTTCGGGTTCGCGGCCGCGGCCTCTCGTAGGCGCATGATAAAGCGGCCGTGGTGGAAACACCTGCCTTCCAGGATCTTATCGTTGGCATCGCTGGGGAAAGGTATCTTCACGCCATTGCCAAAATATATCACATCGTATCCATATGTCCTTACAGCATCTATCCCCTCCAGGCAATCTCTCAGGCCGAGTTGTTCAAGAGCTCTCACCCCGCCGGGTTGAAGCAGCTCTCCCACTATCCGATCAGGCTCCTTCAACGACCTCTCAAGCAATATAACGCTCCGCCCCTGGTTCCCCAACGCAACGGCCAGCGTACATCCAGCAATGCCAGCGCCAATTATCACGACGTCCGCTTCGTGGTGTTCGTATCGTCGCCGCTCGGCTTCGTCGCGGTATGCCTTGGGCTTCGCGGAGCCATTCGCAAAGCCGTTGCCGCTCTGGGGACAGGGAGGAGCCTCGACAACCATTGTAGTAACTTATCGAAAGGGTAACAAAATCCGGCACTTGTCGCTGTCACCGTCGCTGCATCGTCTGCTTGCCGGGGATAAAGAAGTCTGCCAGCTGGCCTCGAGCCGTCGCGGCGTTCAAGCAATTTATTTTATTTTTCGCTTTCTTTCTTTCTTTCTTTTTTGCGCAGGGGGAGGAAAAAGCTTGGCATGAACAGGTACCTCACGCCACCAAAAGGGCAAAAAAGAAAAAACATGTGAAGATATGAGCATCCAGGATGGCATGATCTTTCTAGGGGGGCCCGGAGATTAATCTATTCTATAAGTAACAACCAATGCAAGGAGGAGAAGGAGGGTAAAGAAGGTTGGCTGCATCAAGGTATGTACATAATTCAAGGCAGACATATAAAACATTAATAATAGCTGGTTGTTAAGTGGTAGAAAGGCCCGGCGGTCTGCATAGCTGGGGCCCAGGGGGTATAACTAACTATATCAACGCCTAGATTTAAAAAAATAATATACAAAGAGAACGGATAGGTGTGATCAGCCATGGCTCAGCTGTAGCTCTGGCTCTGCGAGTTTCCTGCTTCCTCGGGAGCCTACGAACCCGTCCATTTCAATAGGACCCTTTCGCTCCTTTCCAGACGCCGTTTCAAACTCGGAACGCTCGCACCAGTTGGCAAGGGTGTGAGCGAGACCGCTGGCCCGTAAAGCTGGATCAGGGAAGGGAACAGGCGTATCATAAGATGGAGTGGGTTGGGCCTTCGTGGGCATTTCATCAGTTGGCGCCACGTTAGCAGTATCCACACGGCCACTTTGGGCAGCTTCCTTCTGGTCAAGCAGCTTCACAAGGTATTCAAGGTACTCGAGTTCGTCGTAGAGTGCATCGTCAGCCGCGTTCGGCGTCGAGGTCTCGGAATGCTGCTCAAGGAGGTACTTGAGGTGCGCGACCAACCGTTGCAGCTCCACGACTAGATCTCTGTGTAGTGCTGACTTTCGGCTCATTGCTGTCAAGATAGCCCACCGAAGCCCTCTCCGGCTACCGCTGGCCGCAGCTGCTCTAGAAATCATCTTCACAGCAACAGCATCAAACGGCACTGTAGCACCGTATTTTCCCTTGTTAACTGCGCGGAAGAGTCTCAGAGCTGCTCCAGGCTTTCCGTGCTTGATCAACATTGCACTGGCACTAACAGTCATATGGTGCTTGATTGGAAGCATGTTTTCTTCAAGTGTCCGGTAGAACAGGAAAACCGCCATTTTCAAGGCCTTCTCTTTCGACCTTACCTCGAAGATCTGCTTGTAGAAAGTCCCCAGTTTTGTCCTGTCGAAATCAGGGAACAATCTACTGGCTTCTTCAAGGATTTTCTGAGCTTCGTTTGCGCTTCCATTGTGCATAAGGCTCGCAACAACAGCTAGTTCAATATGAATCTGCTTCATGACTTTACCCGATGCCTTGGCCACGGTAAAGAGCTCCAGAGCCTCATCCATTCGGCCAGAGTTAATGCTGTGGATCATTCTTTTCCGGAGAGCAACAAACTTGTCCACATCTCGTCCACTTGTTGACGCATACTTGACTTTATCTGACCATGTTGTCCGCTCCCCAGTCCAAGGTAGTTTGTAGGCTTCTTCAAGAGGGAAAGAGTCCCTATCAAAGCCAAGTATTCTCTGAGAGGCACCAGCCCGACCATTTTTCTGCTGGGATGATCGGAACATCCGCCATAGACCAACCGTGCTCTTCTCGCAAGTCATTCTGTGATTCCTCAACAGGTGAATAAAATGTTCTTTGTTAGATGTCACATTCCATTGTCTAGTTTTTGCAGCCTGCAAAAACTCATCAACCATTTCCATGCTTCCCTTCTGGATAAATGCGATGAGAATATGCTCAAAGAGAACATCGTCCATCTCCAAGCCATACTCGTCAATTGCTTTGAAGATAAACGTCCGGATGCTTTCGCCAGAATTTCCCAGGAAGTATTCAAGGAATATGCGATCGAAGATCTTTGTAAAGTTTTTGCGGCCAGATTTATCTAATCCCAGCTCGTGAATCTGCTGGAGATATTCCTCCACAGCTGGCCAGTCGCTCTTTAGTGCTTTTCCGTACGCAAGAAGTCCCAGCGGTCGTAGCCCAATAGTAATGCCGTAGATGTCTTTCATTTCCTCAATCAAGGCCTCGGCCTTCTCGTCATACCCAGATTCGATATACGCTTTTAACAGAGGATTGAATAATCTCTCCGTGGGTGGTATTCCGAGTCCCAAAAGGGCGCTAGCCAACTTCCCAGCTTGTACCTCGACCAGTTCCATGTTACGGCTCTTCGTGTAAAGGCCACCCAAGTATATCGCACACAACCCGCAGCTGCTGTCATCTTTTAGGTACCTGAAGATAAACTCCTTCGCTTCTCCAAGCCGAAAGGAGTCCACAAGGGATCGCAAAACTAGGGATCGAAGTTGATATGACAATTCGAAGCGGTCGGCATGGCGCAAATAGAGTGATGCAAGGGTATCGGCGCTCCATCGTGAACCCTGTGCTAGGAGTAATGCTTCCCAGGAATCTGAAGTCACTTGTCCGTTTCTCTCATCCCATCTGAATATTCCTCCAGCAAGAGATGTATTGCCAGCTTTCAGGTTTTCATTGAATATACTAGTCGAAAGTTCTTTTAGCGTCTCCATGTTTTCCTCAACGAAGTCTCCCGGTGGGCGCAAAAAATGGTGGGCGGCTTCAATCGGTTGGCCTTGTTTTAAGTGATTTTCAATTCTCGATTTCCAATTTTGATATTGGTCTGATGGAGATATATTTAATGAAGAGCCGCCGAATTTCATCACACCACGAGGGTGAGAATATCGGGCACTTAGATCTAGCGATCTCTGTCGGCGATTTTCTGGGAGAATACCGATGTTCGAAGTACTGCTTGATATCTCGGACTTCTTTTCATGAGTGTAGGTTGCTGGTGCTGTAGCATCTTCTCGACCCTCATTTGCAAGTGTGCCTGTCCGCACAGTATTTCGATTTCTGGCTCGGTTTTCAGTAGAAGATTTCCTTTTCATCGAGTCGAGTCCCAGAAATTCTCCCGCCTCGGCCGCTTCCATCATCCTTTCCACGGCTAATCCTCGTCCCGACGTGCTATAATTGGGACATGACGATTCCAGGGTTCGCTTTTGCTCGACTAGATGTTCTGCTAAACGAACTCTCCGATTGACTTCGTATGTGATTGTAGCGACTGTGCATACACTCCCAATGACACTGGCAGTAGAACCTGCTAAGGCTAATCGTCGTAAAACCCGTAAGGCCGATCGCGAGGGGACAATGTTTCTGGTTGACGGCCGATACATGATTGTCCGCGGTAGTGAGGGATGGGTGTGTATGGGACCATCCGACTGGCCCCGATCGAAAATGAGTATTCAAAAATGCCCCCTTCCCATCAGAGCTGTTTAGTTGACGGACGCCTGGCGGATTCAATTGTGTTGGTGGTAGTTGTTTCTGGGTTGAAAGCGAAGTTGTCGAAGTTCACTTTTTTTGCTTCTGGGGGTTTAGTTATCTGATTACGTAATATAGCTCTGCCTTAGAATTTGGTAACAGAAGCTGCAGTTGTTGCTGGCTATTATTATGCAATTATGGACAGTAAATGCAGCTCTACCGGGTGCCATGATGTATATGAAGTATAACAGTACAACTAGAGTTGAGATCTGTGCAACCCCTTCTTAAATTCTATGAAAACCCCGAATGAAGACGTGCAGTAAGCCGAGAAATAAATGATGTAGATACAATGTCAATTATATATGCACAACTCGGTCCGTTACATGTTTTCTTCGAGATGTTCGGAGGGTTGTTCTGTATTATCTGAGTTCGAAGAATGTTCAACCGAAGATCCGGGAATATAGACTAGGAAATTGTTAGTCAAGTTTATAGAAGACGACTAGGACTGAACTTACTATGTGGTAAGAGAAACCAGCACGAAATAAAACTGAGGAATAGTAAACTCGCCAGGAGTATCCAAACCGTTTGCGTTAACTTCCCAACAGTCCAGCTGTAAACGAAGCCCAACACAGTCGGTGCTATAACTCGGGCCAAAGCATGGAGTAACCCCACGGCACCTAAAAGCTGACCCGTCCTATCTGACGGTAAGTGTTTAGTCAAAGTCGAGTTGATCGTCGGGGAGGCCATTGCGCTCATAGCATTGAGAACACCGCAGAGCACCATGAGCGGGCCAGTCTTGACAAGACAAAACCCGGCATAACCCAAGAATTCGAATAGGATAGATACTCTGATAATTCCAATATCCAGCTTATCAGAGCCACAGTTTGTCTGAGCCTCACTAAGGGTATTATTTCGACGATTTCGGATCCATCGGGTAAGGAGAGGTAAGACGCCTAACAAGACGAGGACCCTGACGGTGCTTGTGATAGAGACAAACAAGCTAGACTCAATGTTCCCCCAGCCAAACACGTATTCAACATATAAAATGAGGGTGTTCATAGTACCCATTGAAACACCAAACAAAGCCGTGTCTATTGCGGCTAGAATTATCAAATTTCGTTGAACTAGCTTCACTCGTGTCTTTCCAGCACCAGTTTTCGAGACAGTCTTGTCAGCGGCGGGAAGAAGCACGGCCAATGGCTTCAATAGGTGGAGAGGGTTGAAATCCTGCAGGCGAAGCTTATTGATGTCCAGCGGTTTTATATTCCTCTTCTCCCGATTACGTTTCTGTCGTTCCTTCGTCAAAGATTCCGGGGCTATGAAGGAAATGAATATCGGCATTATGACCTGACAAGCCATGACAGCATAAAATACGACTCGGACATCTCCTGTCGTTTTAATGGGGTAGCTGGCAGTAAGCGGGCCAAGTGCAATTTCGATAAAGAGGACACCATGGAAATATCCAAAGGAAACATTCCGTTTATTAGCAGGTGTACAGTCTGCTGCATATGACTGCGTCAATGCCACAGCTGCTGTGATGGAGCCAAACATTCCGTCAAAAAATGACCCTAAAAGGAAAAGATTTACCGGCAGGGTATCAGGGAATGTAGCGACGAGTGCAGTGATGACTTCTCCCAGGAATGTGCCCAAAGTACATAATCCAATGATCTTTGTCCTCCCATACCCATCGGATAGCTCACCTAACTTTGGGCTTACTACCGCAGAGAGAATGCCGGCAATGAGGTTCATGACAAGCTGGAACCGAGAGACCAGCGCATGTACCTCTGGTATCCGACATTGAGGATTTTCAGCGCCGAATATCACGGGAGCATAAGTAAAAGTATTGTCCTTTGCCGCACGATCAGAGAAATATTCCCGGCATATCAATGTGAGCATGAGATTGATCTTTGGTACGGCAACTCCCCCAAACGCAAGGGTAAACGGAAGAAGCGGAGGAAGCAGCCATAGCACCTAGTGAATTCGCAGTCAGCATGCAAAAGCCATAAATGAGCGAATTTCATGCTGCAAGCAGCACTCACAGAAGGCCTTTTCCACCAAGGCAAAGAAGAGAAATCCTCGACCTCAGTTTCGTCTAGCCCATGGGCCAGCAGTGTTGTTCTCTCATCTGATATATCTGTTCCCAAGTGCGGCTCTGACGCAAATTCAAAGGGAGTCCGTCTGCCTGCCGTCATATTGTCGCTCATGGACTCTTCCAGCCCAAGTTCAACGCTGGAACTAACTGGTTTGGCGATGGCCATGAAGCCGAGAATGGGTGCAATGGAGAGCGGATGTGCAGTGCATGGACAAGTTCAACAATCGAAAACTCGGTCAACGACACATAATTCTGCTGACGACGAAGGAGAGGTTAGCCGGCGTATATCGAAGAAAGAAATAGCTGCATAATGACGGAGAAACCATTGGCATTCTGGCCGGAGCCTGGAACTTCAGCTGTAAGTATCCTTGGGCCACCGGCATGATCGATCCTCCATTGTTCTTCCATTGAATGGTTTCGTCCGGTCCCGCTCGAAAAAATGTCCGAAAAAGGAATTAGTCATCGTTTTAGGCGATATTGCTGGGAAGCGAATGGCTAGCTCGTAGGCCTGGAATACATCGCCTTTTTTGCCCTGCTGCAGCTGTAAGAAGCTGTGGGATATAATCCCGGCTTTGGGCGGATAGTTGGAGTTGCGGTTTGCCGGGCTGGTGGGCAAGTTGCGTCATGGGGATTTTCACCGATGCTGGAGCTGCCCCAGTTCAAAAAAGCAACATCAAATTACCGGGGTGCATCTCTTATAAGTGCTCTCTCTCGTTGATTTTATAAATGGCTAACCAGATGACAACCGTAGAATAGAAAATAGTAATATACATAATACAGATGGCGTGGCCGTGATTTATCGTGATTTATCATCGTACGAGATCGCGGCCCTCTGGGCCAGCGAAGAACTTCTTCTGCTCTAGGCACCTTTCACTCGTGCAGTTTTGGCATCGGAGCATCATCTGGTGCGTACACTTTGCGCCGCTTCGGAGATGCTCTGCTGCCAGGTCTGCTAATCCTTGAATGAAGACGGGATTCCCGTTGAGGCTCTCCACTCGTTTAACACCCGGATTATTTGCTTCATGAATAACCTCCTTGTCTAGTTCGTAGAGAGTCTCTATGTGGTCACTGGTAAATGCGACTGGGATCAGCAGAAGATCAGTCTGCCCGCGACTGACATAGTTCTGAACCGTATCACTGGTCTGGGCCCCGAGCCAGGCTTGGGGTCCGACTTGAGATTGCCAGCATAGTCGGTAAGGGTTGGAGAACTTTAATCTTTGCATAACGGCATATACTGTTGCGGCTACCTCAGCAGGATATGGGTCACCTGGAAATGAAACGGTTAGCCCGGTGCCCGCTCATGCACACAAAATAGTAGGTTGCTCACCTCTGTTGACAACGGTCATCGGTAGACTATGAGCTGAGAAAAGAAGGACAACATTGTCACGCTTATCCTCAGGATACGTGGCTAGTTGTGCTTCAATATTTTGCGCGAACGCCTCGATCAACCCTGGATGTGTAGGCCACCTGTCAATAACACTCCATTGAATATTCCCGCTGACATCTTCCGATCCTTCAGCGCCGCGTCTTCCCTCTAGTTTGTTTTTCCATCTCCAGAGGTCATTGAGCGAACTACCCGTAGTCGAACAGGAGTACTGAGGATACTGTGTAAATGCAACAGCCCGTCCGCCTTTGCCTTTTCCGAACCCATCATTGAGCAGCTGTGTATACATCTCCTCTGTCAATGGTGCAGCATATCTAAATGCCACGTACGGCTTATGTGGTGCCGTCTCTGGCGATATCTTGTCAAGTATTTTGCACATTTCAGAGCACTGGTACTCTGACCACTTCCGAATTGGAGAGCCGCCTCCAATATCGGCGTATTGTTTCTGGATCTTCGGAGTTCGACGTCGTGAAATAAGAGGGCCAAGGTAAGATTGTAACCTTCCAAGCGGTATCAAGTCACCATCTGCCTAGGACTTGTTAGGCTTGCGGTGATGGAATGAGAATAATGCACAAGCTCATGTAACTTACGAATAGCCTGCTCAAGAAATCGCCGACCTCATCTGTAGTGGAAGGCCCGCCCATATTTAGAAAAACCATTGCAGTAGGGCCTTTTGACCCTGTTGAATCCTGGGTAACTGGTGGCACCACAGTCGCCATCGTGCGCGAGCTTCCATTGTATAAGCCAACTGGAGCTCGTAGGCATGCGGATACACTTCCCAGTCCTCCGCGAGGAATCTTCGACAATGTCCTTGGAATCGCCATTATGATAATTAATTGGTGATTATGCAGGAATCCAGAGGTTCTATAGGTGAGAGGGAGAGAGAAAAAGGAACCTCGCTTTGACGGTGGTTTGCGAGCAAGTCGAAGGAATGTTCAGCGTCCTTCCTCTTTTGGCCGAGCCAGAGCTTTGCCCAAAAATTAGTTCCCGAGGCTCCCGAATGAGCCAATCAGAGAGCGTATTATTACCATACATCACATGATCTGGTGTTTTAGCGCGTCTTGTCGGCTAATTAGGCAGACGCGTCCCGTGACTTATCCGCCGCGACTACTTCCGAGTTACATCAGCGAAACGCCTGGATAGACAAACAGGCAGCAGCTGGTAACCCTACAGAGACAGTGCTCACTTTTTCATTCTCAGATATCCCGACTACCTACTTCTGTCATGGCTTCTAACTGGGTACGCGATGAGGATGATGTGGAGGAGGAGGAGGACGATATTGATGACACTGTATGACGTCGTCCTGAACAAGTAGAACGAACTATCGCCTGTTAACTATATATCTAGGACTACAAATCCAGCAAAGATGCAGTCCTCTTTGCTATTGAAGTTAGCGAGTCAATGCTAACTCCTCCACCTGACTTCAAGTCTAAGAAGGCGGATAAGGATGCACCAATTACCGCTGCGTTGAAGAGTGCATACCATATAATGCAGCAGAGAATTATATCTAACCCTCAGGACATGATGGGCGTCTTACTATATGGGACAAAGGACTCAAAATTTTATGACGAAGATGAGGAGGGCAGAGGCACACTCCCATACCCCCATTGCTACTTGTACACGGACCTAGATGTTCCAGCCGCCTCTGACGTGAAGGACTTGCGAGCCTTGGCTGAGGACGAAGACAGCGCCGCCGAGATATTGATTCCCTCCGAGGAACCCGTCACAATGGCAAATGTGCTGTTCTGTGCTAACCAGATCTTTACCTCGAAAGCAGCTAACTTCTCTTCTCGGCGGCTCTTCATCATTACGGACAACGATAATCCACATCAGAATGAAAAAGCGCTCAGGTCGGCAGCTACCGTTAGGGCGAAAGATTTGTATGACCTTGGAGTGATTATAGAATTATTCCCAATCTCCAGACCAGGTGAAGAGTTTGACCGTTCAAAGTTCTACGCAGTGAGATTACCTAAATGATACATGCCATTTTATCTCATCTTTAACCCTTTCAATAGGACATCATCTATAAGGCCTCCCCGACTGACCCGGAAGCTCCTGCATTTCCGCAAGCTGCAACCAAGACTGCAACTTCGGGGGGAGATGGCATCACGCTTTTGAACTCTCTCATTTCATCAATCAATTCCAAGTCTGTCCCTCGAAGAGCGCTATTTTCAAATGTTCCCTTAGAGATCGGGCCCGGTCTCAAAATCTCCGTTACTGGGTATTTGATATTCAAGCGACAGGAACCTGCTCGAAGCTGTTACATTTGGCTGGCTGGTGAACAGCCCCAAATTGCCAAAGGGCTGACTACTCAGCTTGCAGATGACAGTGCCCGTGAAGTGGAAAAATGGGAGATCCGCAAAGCATATAAGTTTGGAGGTGAACAGGTCTCGTTTACTCAGGAAGAGCAAGCAGAGATCAGGAACTTCGGTGAGCCCACTATTCGGATTCTTGGTTTCAAGCCCCTTTCCTCGCTACCTATCTGGGCATCTATGAAACACCCTACCTTCCTTTATCCATCAGAGGAAGGGTATGTAGGCTCAACACGTACATTCTCAGCATTGCATCAGACACTACTGAAGCAAAAAAAGATGGCCCTGGTATGGTTTGTGCCTCGACGAAACGCAGCCCCTGTGATGGCCGCAATGATTGCTGGAGAAGAAAAGCTTGATGAGAATGGTGAACAAACTATCCCCCCTGGAATGTGGATTCTTCCTCTCCCTTTTGCAGATGACATCAGACAAAACCCGGAGACAAACCATATTACCGCTCCTGACTCATTAATCAATAAGATGAGGCCTATCATCCGGCCGCTTCAGCTTCAAAATGCGCAATATGATCCACAGAGATATCCAAATCCATGTATGTGTAGTGTACTCTGATTGTTTATGACTAAAACTAACCCAACCTTTACCAGCGCTTCAATGGCATTATAAGATCCTACAGGCTTTAGCACTTGATGAAGATTTACCAGAGGAGCCAGAAGACAAGACTAAACCGAAATATAAAGCCATTGACAAGGTAGACGATATTCAGTACCTGCAACACAAAATTTCTAATATTACATCAGGCTAATGATATGCAGCGAACTGGAGACTTAGTTATTGAATGGGGTGAAGAACTTGAGGCTCAGTACCGGGCTCTGGAAAAAAGTCAACCAGCGACCTCAACTCTAGTTAAAAGACCAGCTCCAAGTGCAAAGGGAGTTAAGGAAGAGCCAGCATCTAAGAGGGCAAAGACCGAAGAACCCGAGGATATCAAGGCTTACTATGAAAAGGGTACATTGAACAAGGTAAGGCCCATCTCTGGCCTGATAAGTGTCAAATTATTAAGCGTCTAACTCGGTATTTAATATAGCTCACTGTTGCCGTACTGAAGGACTTCCTAACTTCACATTCTCTGCCAACTTCTGGTAAGAAAGCAGATCTAGTTGAAAGAGTTGAGGAACATTTTGGTGGTTGATAGTTCCTTAAAGTACCACTTGAGGGATATTAAAATCGGAAATCCAATTATAACGACAACAACAACAACCACCTTTAATCTTGTTCTAGAGGAAAAAGTAGAAAAATTAAAAGGAGTAAATCGATAGATTCATAGATGAATCAAACCTAGTTAAGGAACTAAAAATACAAAAAAAAATAAGGCCGACGTCGGACGGATTCGAACCGTCGCCCCCGAAGGGAATTGATTATCTGCTTCAGAGAAGTTCTAGTCAATCGCATTAGACCACTCTGCCACAACGCCTTATTGATGTCTGGACTGACAAAAGCAGAATGATAGCCGATACACAGTTTCCCGATTGATAACCGATTCTTAGTGTCGCCCCTGAGAACGATGGCGATCAATTTTGCCTCAAACCAGGCCAGGGATGATGGGTGGTTTATGCAAGGGGAGACTTCGTAACCGTATTTACAATTGTCCTCAAAGTGGCTTTACGTAAATCGAAGAAAAGAGAAGGATGGGTTGGAAATGCAGATCATTATTAACATTGTTTGCAGAAGCCGAGCCGAGACGCCGATACCCCCATGCATAAACAAACCGCCTATGTAGTTAGAAGAAGCGAAGTTGACAAGAGAAGCATATCCTTATAGCCAAGAATAAAAGCAAAGTAAAGTTGAAGTTTATAGACAGCAGTTGGAAAGTGAGGTATCGGGAATGAGACCATCCGGGCCATTGTATCAAAATCTACAGAAACCTGGTGTTAATAAAAGGTCTTTTTATCCTTGGGTGATACGCATAGTAGATATGCAGTAACAGAAGGAAAGGAGGTCTTACCGTATTTCATAACTTCCAGCACGCGTCATATATCGCACCCATTTCACACTGCTGTAGTTCCCCTTTTCAAACACCTTCAGATAGCGCACTAACAGCCCACTGCTCGTGAACATAAGCAAGCTGAAGGCAAGGCTGAGAGGCGGCCGGCTCCAGGTCTTTTGCTGTGTCATGGAGGTCAAGGTAGCTTCGGCCGTAAGGACAAATTCACTCTGACCGGAAAACCTCGCTATTTTCCAGACGATATTGTTATGTTCTGGTTCATACTTGGCCCTTCCCTGGGTTGTCCGCTCCGTGATCTTAGCTGTGTTAAGTGGGGTAGGTATCCGGACAACGACATTGGTAGCAAACAGTTTTGGGCCATAGTTTGCCTTTATAGCAATGCTGTACTCGACTTTTGTGGTACCTACTTCACGGACAATAGGATGGACCTTAAAAGGCAGGTTCACGTTTTCAGTTGCTCGGTATCTCATCAGCTCAAACTCGCCATCAGGTGGGATGAAAGAGATGATTCGGTCAGCATCAAACTGGCCTAGCTTAACACATTGATGAAACTGGCAGTCTTCGAGGGTAACGCTGCCCGCCGCAGCCCGCGTTGTCCTTGGTTTCCCGGGCAGGCCATTGGCATCATCGTTATCTAGCAAGAGCCGATCATTAAGGCCAAACTTGCATTCTGGCGTTCCGCTGAGATATGTTCGCATGACTATATGTCCATTCACGTCCGCCCGTAGCACGGTTCCGGTGGCAGACATTAAAAGGTTAACGTCCTCAATCACGTCGACAAAAGCCTCATTCTTTCGGTACTTAATATCTGATCGTCGCCACGATAATGCGCCGGTTGCTTGCATGGTGATACGACTGGAATCGGTGGCCGAGTTAACGATGGAAGACTTCACTCCTTCGGTAGTTATATACATCTTCAGCGTATCCGTCTCGGTGTTCTGCGGGTATCCAAAGTCGAGGATTTCTAAACACGAGGCCGGAGTTAGCATTTTATACATTCCAGCCCAAGTATACCACACCAGGCACATAGCTTACCGTCCAGCAATTCATAAATCAACACAAAATTATTCTTGACTGCTTCCTCGTCAAACTTGCCAAAGTACCCCTTCCCCAGCATTATTAATTTGTACAAGAATTCAAACACGAGCGCGGCATTCGCGTTGCTCTTCGTAACTGCGACCAAATATATATTCTCATGTTTGACATGGCTGAACGTCGTTGAGCCGAGCGTCAATATGGGAGATCGGACCTGCGCATTCGATATCACCTGGATGCGGAAGATGTCTGCGAGTCGTGGTCGGCAGTCGTTGCGAAAAGAGCGAAATATAAGATTTTCGCCCTTCTGATTAAAGATGAGGATACCGGACAGCATCCTGACAGAGAATGGATCACAAGAAGGAACAGATATGAGTCTCAGGAGTGTGTCTGCGGTTAGGTCCTCTTGTTGCAAGTTGCTACGCTTTGGGTTCCTGGAGCTCCCCGTCAGAGCCCGATCTCATTGGATCCATTTGGAACGCTTGTACCGGATAATCGTATTTACCGGTATTTCGATACAAAATTACACTCGGCATAATTAGAAGGGGTACAGTTTGGCCAGAAGTTATTTGAAAAAGCAACACTACTTGATTAGCCATGATCCATGACGGCATATTATCCTAGGTGAACAGTAAAGACATACAAAAGGGGGGTGGAAATGTGATGTAACAGACATGCGGGTAACCAAATATATGACAGGTAATCTGGAGGGTATATGTAAGAAGGGAATGGATAAGGAGACATAAAAATAGGGATTAGATAGATATACCTCCCACGAAGACATAGAATATCGAGAGTAACACTGGCTGGGGAGGTACGGCGGTAAGATCCCAATTCCAGGAGGCAGTGATACCAGCACTCAGGGCAAAAAGTCATACGGAATAGAAAAGATGCAGCGAGACACACGGTAGGTCTATCAACATAAAAGGAAATAAGAGATGAGACATCATCAGAACGGTAGTTGGGTAAGATAAAAGAGAGTGCGGAGGGAGAGCGGTAATTGTGGTCAGTCAAGCTTCATTCTGTGTCACACATGCTGCGGTCGTTCATGTAGCCGTGTGTTTGCAGTGCTGGGTCTAGTTCTCGTCCCTAGATCGGAGCCACCATCGCTTTCCACAATACCAATTTTGGGGTCTGGGATCTGTATGTCTAGGGAGAGGAATCCGGTCCGTCGGGGTCCCCATATCTTGACACCTTCAGCAGCACCAACTTCACGGTTCCACTTATCTATCCATGCTTCGAGACCCTTGATTCGAGATTTGATGCGGCTGGCACCTAGATCGTCCCATACCCAGCCAGTGAGGAACCCCATTATCCCATCAAACCAGTTACGCGCAGCATATGGATCAAACGCATTGATGAGCTCCTGATTTATCTTCGTGATGATGGTTCGGAACTCCTGTTCGCCCAACAATGGGTCAAGAATCTCTGGGTATAAGTTGGAAAAGGTAGGTGCAAGGTCTCCTTTGACCATCCAGTCCCGTCGTATCCGGATTACTCGTGTATGAACGTAATCCTCTGAATTTAGGGAAACATGGGTGTTCATGTGCGGAAAGCATGGATGTGCTGGTCCCCAGCTCAGTTCTTCTGTGGCGTCACCGTTAGGGGGACCACTAGGCGATTGAGGGTTTGTTGAGGCGTTATTGGCATTTACAGGGGGCACGGCAATGAATGTCTGCGGTCTAATAGACAGGTGAGAGTTGACGTGTCGAGGTGTTTCTGGAGGGTCGTCTGGGTGCTGTTGTGCAGCTGGACTGCCATTCATCGAAAAGAGGTTGCCATTTCTGACTGCATAGGGACGCTCTGGCGGCCTTAAGTGATTGCTCTGTCCTGCAGAAGCTCCTGAATAGTTGACCATTTCAATTCCTCCCCAAGTATCCGCACGTCTATGCCTGCGAGGGAGTCCGACGCTGGTACGATTAACGGCGTCAGGTTCGTCGACGTCTGTCTTAAGAGGTATACTCGCTACACTGGACCTCTGGGAAAGAATTCTCCGACGCTCAGGGAGGGTAAGTAGCGGATCTGCGTCCCTTTTTGGCCGAGAATCGCCTGTGAGAGCTGAACGTTGCTGTCGAGACGAGCGAGTGGCGGAGCGTGGAATGTAATTAACCGGGTTCCAGAGACTTGAAGAAGGGGATCTTCTGGCGTATTTGAATAAGGGGAGCAAAGGAGACGGCTGTTCGTGAGACTGCTGACGATGGCAGTGGATGCGGCCCTGAGGGAGAGGAGACGAAGTTTTGCGAATGTACAGCGGCTCTGGGCGCGCCGGAAACGAAGCCTCAAGGTCTGCGGAGTATTCAGGGGTCAGGACCGGGACGAGAGGGATGTATGTGTGGGATTCGTCGCCTTCAGCCTCCCGCGATGATACGGTTTGTGAACGTCTGGCGGTTGAAAAGGCCGTTTTTGTGGTGCGGACAGGACTTTCTTCTGCAGAAGGAGGAACGTCGTTGGTGTCGCGCTAGTGCCACGGAAAGGGGTCAAAAGTGGTGCGGCAGCGCTCGGCGCACGGCATAGACTGTTCGGGGCACGGCGAGTTTCCCGCGCCATAAGCAGCATGGAAGTAGACCAAAGAAAAATAATTGATGATGAACAAACAACAAAAGATGGACAAAGGAGTGGGAGAAGATGCCGGTTGAAGAGTTAAAAAGGACAGGAGAGACAGAATAGGGGGAAAGAGAGAGAGAGGGAGAGAGAAAGAAATTGAAAGAAGGTCTGCTAGGTCTGTGTTCAAGCGAATAGTTGTGTCATCCGTTCCTCCGCTGACCGTCCTCTTGTATTGTGATATGTAGGATGCAGTGGCATGCCCGCGAGGCCTAGGGGTTACATGATGAGTCCAAGGGAGCAAGAGGAGCTGTGTGCAGCCTGAAGGTGGGAGAAGAAAAGAAAGGGCCCTGCGCAGGGACAACTGCGGAATGGGCTGCCCTAAATATAAGTCTCCCAATCCCGCTCCAACGCTCCAAGGCTCGGTTCGTTCCATCACAGATTACATGGGGGGGTGGAGGGAAGGAAACCTTGGAAGGGATGCCTTGGGATCGAGAGTGGGCTGCGCAGCGAGTTTAACTAAAAGGCACATAAACATAGCCATGCATTTCTGTCACATCGACGTTGGCTCGCGGGAATTGAGGATGGCTCTTTTTTCTTTGCTTTTTTGGCTCTTTTTTTTTTTTTTACGGACCAGAAGAAGGCCAGGCCAATGGTTCCTTACGATAACGAGCCGCCCTCGAAAGATTTTACTTTGGTCCCTGCTAGCAGGAGACAAGACGAGGGCTATGAGATGCGAGTTTGCGCATGCTTGGGCTGCCCGACCTTGCTTCACTATCCTTGCAGGTAGCTCAGGGAACTGAAAACTGAAAGCAAGGAAGAAAGGGGAATGGAAACCTAAGGGGTACGGAATCCTTTTGGGCAGACAGACGACTCTTTTTCTCACTCCCTCATGCCAAGTGCGATGCGGGTTTGGAGTTTAATTTTATCCTCAGAAACGGACAGGAGGTAGAGGCGGCTTCCACGTTCTGCGTCCCCATTTCCATCTGCGTTAAATCAAGTGTCGTGTGCGGTGTTTACGATGACGACGGATCGCAAAGACACATCCCGTTGACCGCGGGCCCAGTTTTCCGCAGCGGCCGGGCCAATAGTCAGTCCTGGGGTCGCGGAACCAGGTACCGATTACGGGTCGGTTGCATAAGCGACTAGCTCAGGAATCTTTTTGCTCCAGTGGATAGTAACCGTCAGGATATGACAGGTTACAACCCCCAGGCACCGGCTTAGCGGAGGTAATCCTACTTATATCAGCTTACCTACGGAGTTCTCAAACTTCAAAACAAGGGACCGTTCCGCGTCAGCAGCTGCCAGAAAAGATCCCCTCGGCAACAGATGCGCTCGATACTCCATGCCGCCCGCCAACACTATCCATCCCAAGCGCTACAAGAGCGCTACTATTATCAACCCTAATATAAGGTACATCCCTTTTGATAGCGCGGGCGATGACTAATAAGTGGGTCTTCCGGAGAATTAGCATACTGATTGGCCAAAGCTCCGGATAAACCTCCGGCGATACGATAGTCCGAGTGTTTATTTTTGCAACCAGGCTGGACGGCAAGCGAAAACTTGAGTATTTGCCATTTTGTTTATTATAAAGAAAGGGGCTGATATTATAAGTCTATGTACAGGGGTATGGGGATGGGGGCCTTCCGAGGTTGGAGCGAGATGGTGACACGGAGAAAAATAAAGGGAAAAAATAAATAAAAAGGATCACCATGTGGCACTTGGATTCTAGCCGGCAAAAAAACAAGGAAAAAATGGACTCAAGCTCGAGGGGAAACACGATCAGTTGTTTCTAAGTGGCCCCTTTGTTGAGACAGCCAACCATATCCCACAGGAAGGACCCGGTTCAATGGCTCTGGCACTGATGAACTCGAGCTAGAGTTGCTAGTTATCTGGATGGGGTGGCCAACCTTTCACTGTCTCGCATTTCTGGTGGATGGTCAGCATCTGGTTCCCTCCCTGCCATATACTGGCTCAGCCTGCTCACTTCCCTGACTAGCATCCCCGTTAAAAAGCCAATCGCTCCCCTGGCTGCGGTCCCACTTGGGCTCGAAGGGCCGTCCTCGTTGGGAGTCAACTTGTTAGCCTCCTGGCAGACAAACCGGTGGCGAGCCTCCGAGACTCTTTTGTCGACCGAAACAGTGTGGTTGACGAAGTATGCCCTGCTGGGTGATATTTCTGCTCCCAGGGGAAACATCTGCGACAAATAGTGCTGGTTAAACAAGTGCCCGTGGCCATCCCCGCAGATGAACACCCGTCCAGCATACTTGTTCTTGGGGTTACTTATACTACGCAGAACCCCCCACTGAGGAACGGGGTCATTCTTGTTGACATAGTGTTCGATGTGCCTGATCACTCCTCCGGTTCCAGTGTCGTTCAAGGGATTATTGAAATGGTCCGCGGCTGACCCAAAGGTATAGATTTCAAGTTTGGCCATCTGCTTCGCCGGCAGGTCCGCGAACAACATGTCCAGCGCCAACGACGCGACGATCGCGCCCTGGGAATGGCATATTAGGACGACTTTCTGGACTCCTGGGTCGACTAGTACCTTTTTGAGGTAGTCGTATGCAACTCGGACGTCGTAAGTATTATACGAGAATGTCCGCTGGATGATACATTCAATCAAGTCCCCAATAAGGCCGAAGGTGCGATTTTGGATACCCGTGATAGGACGCCGGAATATCTCGGCCAGCTGCCTGCAATTCTGTTCCAGCCCATAGGAACTACATATACCCAAAAAATTGAAGTTTGTTATTTAGTGGGGGTAACAATTAACAGGGAACAGGTGGAGCGGGAAGTGAGCCTTACGTTACTACGACCCCATTGATAAATATCCAACGCTCCTCCGTAGTATACCGAGCGTTATATGGACCCGGCTCGGTGTGGAAAATGGCTGGCCCGTGGAAAGGGGCGCAGGCCCAACCCGCTATTCGGAGATTTACCAGACATAGGCAACAACTAATTGCTCCTGGCAACAGCAATATTGACAGGCAGGAGATAAGCAGGAGAATTGCTTCGAGTAAAGAAACGAGCACTAAGCCAACCAGGTTTAGTATGCTCCGTTTTCCGAGGTATAGTTCGTCCGTCGGTCTGGGAGCATGCAAGGGCCGGAAGATATTTGGAAGCTTCGGAAGCAGCTGAAGACAAGTCTGTAGATCCCTCCTTAGTCGCTTTAGCGGGCTGTCTCGAGCCTTTGGCTGACTGGCGATCGATTCTTTGTCAATCTGGGACGGGATTAAGCGAACGCGATGACGGGCGGGCCTCGGGGCCCCGGTGATCTGCTCTGCCATTCTCTCTCAACAAAGAAGAATTAAAAAAAAAAAAAAAAATAAATAAATAAATAAAAACCCAGGTGGGGGTGGCCTTGTACAGGAACAACGAGTGACTGCTATGTATATTGCCACGGTGCAATATACAATATAACTTTGCCTAGACAAATGCAAAAGAAGTACGGACTGGCAAACGAGTGTAAGCCCAAACGTGCACGCGGTTAAGGATATTAGGTCCCGAGGTGACTGCTTGTTATCACCGGAGGAGCAAAGGGGCCACATCCAACCCTGGCCCTCGAGGTGCAACAGACTACAATCACAGACAACGAAGAAAGCGCCACCATGGACTCGGTGATGTGCTGTTATAGGGAAAGAATGCGCTTATCTATGCTATGGGCAAACGGCGAAGTGAAAGAAGCCGGAGGCCACAGCAGAGGCGAGCTTTTTATACAAGCTTCCTGCCGCCTGCGCCTGTCCGCTGCTGCAAGTTCGCCGCATCCTGGATGCTCGCGTGCCTCCCAGGTGGTACATGTGATGCATGGTAACCTTGATAGCCATGGCCAGTTCGCTTCCCAGCTGACACGGCGGCCTCTCACTTGGCAGAATACTACCAGAGGCCTCGATGCTGTATACTGTCTACACACCTGTAGGGAAGGACTGATCAGCGGCCGCGCGATGGCGGTTGTTGGGGCTTGTGTCCTGTCCTCCGCACGCCCTTAATTCTCCAAAACACCGCAAGCTTCGACTAACAACCAACTTTGGCTGACTCCATTTAGTTATGGAACCTAACCAGGTACTAGCGTCGTCAGGTGATGCGTTTCATTCGCCCGCCAGAGTTGATCTGCTCAGGGGCTCTTCAGATCCAACGCTGCAAAGGCCTGAACCACTACTGGTTATCTCGACGGCCAGCGGGATAGAAGACCAAAGACCGTCTGATCCAAATACTTTGTGTGAATCTGTCCCCATCTAGAGTGGCTACCTGGCCACTTCTAAGCCCACTTGGCAATGTCTGACTCTAGCAGCGACGATGACTCCTTTGAATGCGATACGTGTACGCGTCGTTTCGCTACCTCGCGTGCCTGTAACCAACACATGGATGCTACAAACCACAGGGCGCCAACCTTTGACTGTGAGGTCTGCCACAAGACGTTCCGTACTCAACCTGCGGCGAACCAACACATGGATGCCGTCGGCCATTGGGAACAAGACTACTACCCTTACGAATGCGACACCTGCACAAACAGATATACGTCGGAGGCAGCCGTCCAGAAGCACATGAAGGATGTCGGGCACTATAAATACTATTGTAAGGCCTGTGAGAGGAAATTTGAGAACAAGAATAATCTAAACATGGTGAGGCTTATTTTCACTTTCCCGTACAACCAGTGAGGTGTAAAGATCTGATATCAATTTCCCATGGCCGCAGCACCTCAGATCGAGGGTCCATGTAGGCAAAGGTATCAAGTGCCCCTTTTGCAAAACCGGGTACGCGACCGCCAGTGGCCTCACACATCATCTTGAACGAGCTGCTTGCCCAAACGCACCGTACATGAACCGGGAAACCATTCTCCGAAAGGTCCGTGAATGTGATCCGTATGGGCGCGTTACCCTCAAGCAGCTCGAATGGCATCCAGAAGACAACTCCAATTATTATGCCACCGATCAAGCCTTCAATGGCTCGTCCTGGCAATGTTATCTTTGCCCATCTTGTTTCAAAACCCGCCATGGTCTGAACCAGCATCTCAACTCTCCCGTACACAAACAGAAGGTCTATCGTTGTCCCAACGACCGAAGCCAGTGCGGCAAGGAGTTTGTGACACTTGCTGCATTATTTCATCATCTGGAGAGTGAATCCTGTTCAGTCGTGAGATTTGAGACTGCTCAGAAGGGCGTGAACGATATGTTCCTGAAAGGGAAAATGATAACATTTTGATAGTAGCTATCAATCATTCGACATGATACCAAGTTCTTTTTAGGCACACAGGGTGGGCCGCATTTCATTTGTCTTCGTTATACTGCTACATGCATATGACCCTTTACAGACCAGTGTTTCTACGTCTCATTTGGTATCTGCAAGAATATTTAATACAATATTTCCTTTTGTTCCCGGCGCAAATCCAATCAGGGGAAATGGTACTTTAATGCCTCGTCTACAGGATGAGTATCCCCAGGTGGTTTCTCCGGCCTGCCCTCGCGGATACTGATATGAGACTCAAATATATCATTATCTATTTCAAGTTTAGAGAGCAGTGACTTGCGCCTAGGGACTCAAGATCCCCATTGGACACAAGGAGCTTGCTGTCTCTAAAGGGGTAACAAAGCCTTCGTTACTTCGACCAGGTCAACTCTGGCAACGAACCTAGAACTTAGCTTGTCTTGAATCTGTGATACTCTAGATGACTTTAACCTGAAATAAAGCAATTCTAAAAAGAGGGCATCTACATGAATCAAACATATAAAGATACGGATAGAGCTGTAAGGCTAGCGGTGTATAACGATATTATTATGATTTTATATTTCTACATATATCCGACCAGGGCATGCTTAAACTAAATATATGAATAAGCGCTGGGATTAAGAAAAATAGTAACCCACAGAGTTGAGATACATGCGAAGAAAAGCCCCCATGGCAATTAGCTATATCCAAAGCAAACATACATGCCGTTGATGCATTAAACAACCAATCCAAACACCGTCCCAGCCCCATGCCAATATCAAGATATCTGAATAAGTTTAATCATACACAGCATCGTTCAGCTCTCGCCCACATATTATTATTACATCTTACATCTATTGATTCTCTCTGGCCGCTCCGCCGCTGGCACGCCACCAGATGTCTCCTCCCCATTTCAGCAGCCGTTCGGCCGCTGCCGTAGGGGTATCGACAGCCGGGCGAATGTCGAGGAAGAACACGGGCTCTCCCGTAGGCTCGGGGGGGCCGGAGTAATAGTCAATCACATATCGGATCTCCTTATCTCCCTGTGGAGTTTTGCGTAGAACATACCAATCATGTCTGTCGAATGGGGGAGCAGTACTGGAATAACCCGTTAGCTAGTAAGTCATAGAAAGAGCCTTCACTATATATGACGGTATGCTTACCCGAATTTAGAAGGGTACACTCTACCCAGCAACTGGAAAAACTGAGCCTTGGGAGTAAGATCCTGTGGTCGACCCATGAATCTAGCTAGACGTGGCTCATCATCGGTCTCACCGCCAGCACCGGATCTCATTCTCTCCCGCTCCAGGTCCATGGCTAGATTTTCCGATCCACGTCTGCATTTTTGCCAGCCTTGAACTAGACCCTTAGAGAAGGTACGCTCCCAATCAACGATTTCCTGCCATGCGCCTTCGTTCAGGAAGTTATGTACTGACACCATAGACTCGACTGCATCCTGTGGCGTGTCCGTGTACCCTTTCCGAAGCATGGCATTGTACATTTGCTGGGGAGAAGGATATTCCCATTTTGCGCCGGAGCTGTCACCACGTGGAATGGACGATGGCTCTCGATCCACGGACAATTCGACTGTTTGATTCGGTGCTCGAGATTGAGATATGTCGGCGAACATGTAATTGAGTGGATTCAACATTGAAAGGACGGACTTTTGTTCAGGCTCAGGGGCCGAAGGTGTTGCATTTTGCGGTTTCGCGGAGGTTGATGGAGGAACGTAGAATGGTGAATCCTTGGCTCGAACTGGACATGATCCTTCTGGTATAGGCGTGGCATTGGTATTCATGGGCTGGCCATGCTGTACGGGACATCGAGACTGGTATATATATGTCAGGTTATTCCTCATTCAAATTGAGAGACAGAAGGGAGGTTGCTTACGGGGGTCGCATCACTAGGTGACGGAGTAGGAATTTCAGGCTGCTTCACAGCCGGTGTTGCCGATGCCCAGAACCAGCCCATTGTTATTCCCTGGATGGGTTTAATTCACAGGAACTATAACGATTCAATTATGGATAAGTCCTTGATGAAGATGAAGATGATGAATAGTTCAATAAGGTCGCAGTCCAGCATCTTTTTTTCTCGTCGCAAATAAAAAAAGTTTGATAAGGCAATCACGTGATACTAATCGATCTACATATCAATAAGGTTTAAGTAGAATCTGGCTGCCAAGCATTTAAGGTTGGTTTCCATCGGATGATAGATATATTTTCATAGCTTCCACGTCCCGTCAACACGTCATATCTCAATTGTTCCAGCACGTCTCGCGACCCAAAAATCACAGTATGCCTCTCAACATCTTTCGCCATGCAAATTTTAATGTTGATGCACTCTGCCAGCTCGCAAGTTCTTTACGGGTTGGGAGATGCTGCTGTTGCGATGTTACTCAAGTACCAGTAGGCGGCAGCTTGTACTGGGCAGTGTTCGTGGTATTTGACGATGGAGTCGAATGGGTGTTTCGATCTCCACGATATGATGGCACTATCCAGTCGCCAGAAACGATCCAAAAATTAGTAGCGAGTGAAGCAGCTACATTAAAATATATCAAGTCAAATTCAGCCATACCCGTCCCAGAAGTTTACGCGTATAGGTATGATCGATCTGGAAGTTTTCCTGGTATTCCGCTGATCACCAAAAAGCTGCTCGAAAGACAATAGTGTTGGAGTACCTTATATTTTAATGAGTAAAGCCAAAGGCTCCCCTCTCAGCACAAAGTGGAAACCACGGGGGTCACAAAAATCGGCCCTATCGTTAAAAGAAAAGGCGAAGGTCTTATCTCAACTGGGTTCCATAACGTGGCAGCTTTCTCAGCTCAGATTTGAAAAGATCGGCTCACTTTTTGAGGAAGAAGATGGCCATTTTCGGGTAGGGAGCTGTTTATCACGGGGACTGGTGGACTTTGACAGAGATAGCTTGGATGAATTACCCCGGGGGCCATTCTCCTGTGAGAACGAATACGTTGACGCCCTGGTATTAGGATTTTTGCAGCATGCCGAGTGTCTCCAGCTTCACCACCACTGCTTCTTCGCGCCCCTGCCGACCCGCAAGAGATATAACAATGATCGCGAATATCGCAGAGCATGCGAGCAGTGGAATAATTTTGTTACTCTTGGTTCCAAAATCGATGGCTCTGATAATCGCACTGACTACATAGTAGTCGGAAATTTTTTACGTGCAATAGCATCAAAATGGACGATGAAAGGAGCAGCGGCAGGCCCCCGGGATACCAACCTTGAATTTACCTTGCATCATCCTGATCTCAATGTGAACAATATATTCGTGGATGACGATTGCACAATTACGTGCATCATTGACTGGGCATTCTGCTCATCCGTCCCTTTGTCGGTCCTTCTCATGGCGCCTGGTCTTCCGCAATCCCGGGACGAATTGGAGGCCCCTTTAATTGCTGCTTTTGAAGATGGACTAAGTAGATCGATATCTACAGGAGATATAATATCTTCCAGGCTACGAGCCTTTCCGAGTCGCAGATTCCTTTGGTTATTCTATCGGCTAGTGAGCTTTGATTCCTCGGGAGACTACTCTCAGTTCAAAGAGATCTGGCGGTTAAGTGACCAAAATAATCTGGATTTCTCGACTTTTTTTCAATCACAACAGCGATCGGATAGCTACATAAAAAAGCACGATGAAATGAAACAAGACGATGAATCTATAGACCGCGTAATGCGTCGTGAGGCAGCCTACTTTCAGAGGGACATGGTTGGGCTGACAGTATCGAGGAAATTGACACTAGTTTCCGAATGGACATCTCGGTACCGCAAGAACGATAATAAAGGTATACGACGCAGCGGGAGCATATTTGTAGCAGATGACAGACTTTGGAAGTGGGTTTTAAGGTCCCTAGAGCAAGTGGAAGGTCTGGAATAGGAGCTTATCGTGTTATATCTTTTCTCGAATGTATTCGGCATTGATGTTTTCGACCTGCCCGGTGGCATCATCTCTAACCTGCCATTTTCGTTAATTCCATAATAATCTAAGCTTCGAGGTAAAACATACTACGTGTAGTTGAGTGCTAGACGTCTCATTATCAATTATACCGGTGTGCCATTCGCTTTCTACTGCTAAATCAGCTAAACCGTACTCCGTATATTATTGATACGTAAACCATACCTCCCTGGCGGCAATAATACACTGCATCCCCGGCTGGATAATATGCCTTTTTCCTTGAGTTTGTAGGAGGCGTTGGCAGATCGGGAGGCGTAGGTGGCTGGGGGCGCTTCTTCGGCATTTCTCCAAACAACCTCAAAAAATATTCCTTTCGCTGACTGCATTTTATGAGGATGACCCAGACAATATAATATTCTTTACTTTCGGCCCCTCATGTGATGAGCCTATAGAGACCACGATACCCCTCCATTATGTCTAGCTATTTTATTGGCAAGTAATTGGACAATGCAAGACGATCACTTGCTTTAGGCTGCCTTGCAGCGAAGAGCATCCATGCATCCACTTGGCGATGCAGCAATACAGCATGCCGAAATCAACTCATTGGCCCTCATGGTAGAGAGGAGGCCATTACGAAAGCCACTCCCTGAGCTTCTACGGAGTACTCTTATACCTGACCGATACCCACCAAGCCACGGATAACGTCTCTTGGTCAGTCTCGAATGGAGACCTGTGATCTCAAGATGGAGGTCGCCGACCTTAAGGCCCATCCTATATATAGGCAGAAGTCCGCCGTTTCCTTCTAGTGCGTCTATTAGCCAGAATCCGCCCAATTAACTATCTGGGGATATGCATTGCCAGACCTGCGTGTGATCCTTGTTCGCGAGATACTTACCAAGGATAAATGGTATTCACCACATTAGTTATCTCATCTGCTCCGCTCGCCCACTAGCGACCTTCATATAAGAGACGGCCGGAACTCCTAAAGGATAGGGTGATAGAGAAACATTGGAAGTATAAGTACTTACTGTGGTAAGCTCGTGTGTATGTACTGCAAATCTGAAATATTGAGATTTAGTTAATAGCTATCAACCAGAACTACCTAACATGTTACACATGAATTATTCAGGCAGAAAGGGATATCCCATCATTGTTGTTGAAACTAATCACTGTGAATTTACCAATTTGGATAGAGATGGGAGAATACTTGAGGTCTATCTACCAATAGCGCCGGCGGCCGTGTGCACCTAGATCTCTCAAGGTTGGCTAAAATTATAGTAAAATGCGACAAATTTTTTATGAATTAGTAAAGATAGCAGCTTAGCAGTTAGAAAATCTACCTCTATAAGAAAGCCAAGTAACTCTTATTTATATTAGTTATAGATATTTCTGGCCTAATAATGTAAAAAATTACCAAAAACAAGTATCCAGTACTTAATATACTAGAGTAGGTAAGTTCAAAGCTTGTATTAGATAGATATAGTATCTATAATACAATTTAAAGCCCGTTTTAAGTCGTCTATAAACTTTGCAAGCAAGGCATAAATGAGTGACTCCGAGAAAATCAATCAAAAGCTCATAATAGCTGAGTGAAGATAAAACAAAGCTCTAGGTGGTATATACTTGAACGCCAGGCGGTGTAGAAGTTCCGGAATAAAACAATAATAAATCA